TTCCAGGAACGAAACTCGTCTGAGTTTCGTGCACCAGCTTAGGCAAAAGAGGCCTTATTCTTTCTGCCAAACACTTCGTGATAGCCTTGTACGCGACATAACACAGGCTAATGGGACGATATTGCTCAATCAAAGTCGCTCGCGGGGTCTTAGGAATGAGTACGACGATGGTGGCATTAACCTCTTGCACCCGAGCTGGATCCGACCAGCATCCTCGCACAAAGCTCACCAGCGCCTGACTCACAAGATTCCAGCAACGTTGGTAGAAGAAAGGTTGCAATCCATCCTTGCCAGGCGCTTTGAGTGCTCCCATCGCTTTAATCGCCTGGTGAATTTCCTCCTCAGTGAATTGCAGCTGCAGCGGTATCCAAGCCGACTCTGGGAGTTCGTTAAACATAGCTAGTAGGCCCAGGGAGGGGCTGCCGTCATCTGTGTAGAGGTCAGAGAAGTACAATTTTCCATCTCAAGAAGTAGACTCTGCTCCTCCACCCACTCTCCAGCACTATTTTTCAAAGGTGACACTCTGTTCTTCCGTCTTCGAGCTACCGTTCGCGCATGAAAGTACTTGGTATTTCTATCCCCCGACAACACCCATTCAACTCTAGCCTTTTGAACCCAAAGTAGCTCTTCCTGAAGGAGGACGAGCTCAAGCTCCTCCAGGGCTTGTTTCAAGGCTCCATCCATCGAATCACCATTATCTCGCATCTCCAGCCTTTCAATTCTTGCTAGTAGCATATTCTTTTTCCTCACAATGTTTCCAAAGGTATGATAGTTCCAGTTCTGTGCTTCCTTGGCAAATTCCACAATAGCACTACACAGGTCAGTTCCCTGTGCCCAAGATGTTGTAGCCATATCATTAAATCCCTCGTGAGTGAGTCATGCCGCGAGGAACTTAAATGGTTTCGGGCCAGCGGGTTGAAACCCCGGATTAAGGCTGATGAGTATCGGCCGGTGATCACTCTTTACTTTTGGGAGATGACGAACTAACGTATCTGGGAAGATCGCCGACCAGCTGGCATGACTTAACCCTCTATCCATTCTCTCTTTAATACCAGCTTTGAACCAGGTGTAAGGAGGTCCCGAGAATCCCAAATCAACCAGACCCGCATCCAACACACAGTCTTGAAAATCTCGATCCCTACTCGCATCAAAGGGAGCACCTCCCATCTTATCGGCAGTATTGAGGATTGAGTTGAAATCTCCTATAAGCAACCACGGCTCCACCATATCCTCCGCCAATGTTCTAATGGATTTCCACAACTCTCTTCTCTGTACAAGAGCTGGGTTCACATATATATCTGTTAAAAGCCAATTCTCGTGGCCCGAGCAGACCCGAACATGAAGAAACTGATCTGATCGATCTGCTTCAGTAATGGTGACTATGGACGAGTCCCATGCCACCCATATACCTCCTGCGAAACCATTCGCGTCCACAACTAGATGCTTATCATAACCCAAATTTTCTACTACACCTTGCGCTTTCGCTCCACTTATTCTTGGTTCCACAATAATCACTATACACGGTCGATATTTTCTCCGATATTCCTTGAAGACTCTCAGGAATCTCTTGCTCCCCGCCCCCCTGCAGTTCCATGAAAAGACACTAAACATCTATAAATATGGGAGGGTGCAACACAGGTCACAACGATTACGCAGAAGGTTTAGTAGCCTTAAAGTTAAGGCTACTCCTCGCTTCATCTACCATCATCACATTCGGAAACTCCCATGCAGAGATTTCTTTATCACTCTCATAAGCTCCTTCCCCCCCCCCCCCTCAGGTCAGGCGGCTTCTCCTTGGGTCGAGAGCCTCATTATCTAGCAAACTAGATTAAGGATCGATTTATAAACTACTCTACTGACTACTCTACTAATTACGAGTTGGGAACTCACTTAGGTATGATTCCCCCTAGCTCCTCAATTAGGTCCAAGTTTCAATTACCTTTGGTGGATCTACTGTTGATTAAACTGCGGAAGATCCTAAATTAGGTTGGAATCTCTTAAGCTGACCAAGCCCTCTCAGACAGAATACTCGGCAGGCGACTAACCTTCACCGGGATAGACTGTTAAGGCGATTCACACAGATCTCCACTACTGGAATGAATTCCAGTACAAAGCAGTGAATTGATTGACTCTCGCACAACCAATTCACCACTATCAATCAAGGAAGCTCTCTTAACCTAATCAGATTCTATCTATCATAGGTTAAAGCAGAAATCAAGAGAATTTGATCAAGATTCAATTGACTCAATAAATCATGCCTCAATCGATTATAATCAAACAATATAGCATCCAAAACTTCATACAAGAAAGATCCTAACACATGGAACTAGGGTTCCTCAAAACCTAAGTGAAGGGAAGTTACTCCATAGAGAAGAGAGAGACTGCAGAAATCTGATCTAGATCTTCAATCTCCATCTCCAAGCTTGATTCCCGAGCTCCAATGGCGAAGAAATCCTCCAAAATAGCTCCAAGAATGTTCCCAAGTCGCTCTCTCTCTAGGGTTCGTCCCTTGGGTGTTTGGGAACCAAAAACCCAGCCCTCCCCTTTTCTTTGGCTGAAAATCGGGTTTTTAACCAGAAATTCCCGATCACACGGCCGTGTGACTTCCCCAGCTGCCCGTGTGACTTTTTGCAAACCGCGGCATTTTGATAAGTGGCTCAGCCTTCCTACGCGGACACGACCCACACGGCCGTGTGGAGTTCCAGGATGCCCGTGTGGGATTTAGCGAGCCTTCACACGGCCACAAGGGGTCCTCTACACGGCCCGTGTGACTTTGCCCATGCAATTTGGTGCCACACGGCCAGGTCACACTGCCGTGTGGGTTTTTAGGCGTGCCCGTGTGGCTTGCTCAGCCTCTGTTTAATGCTTCGTTTCTCCCTCGTCCGGACTCCGAATCATTCGCCGTTTGATCCCAGACGCTCGTAGTCTCGTCCTCTTTCTTTTCTTGACAAAATTCCATGATTATTTGTCCATAATATGAGGCAGAAGTCCATTATTCATCAGATCATGCTCGTGTTTCTTCTCCCGAATTGCCAAATGATCTCCGATTGACTTGAAACTTGCGCCTATGCTTCAATTTACATGCTAGGACCTGAAATGTGACAAAGGAACACAACCTAGCGTAAAATAGTCCCAGAAAGCAGAAACTCAAGCCAAAATGATCAATAAACGAGGGTGCAAACATGTGCAAATCCGATGTTATCACTTCCTTACGTCCCTATATGTTCACTTTCAAATTCACACAGATTTTTTCCCCGAAATCATGAACTATTTTGAGAAATTCAATTTTCTCAATGAGTGATTTATATTTGAGCCATGGAGTGCTTTGTTTAATCAAAATTCTAAAAAAAAATAATTAGAATTGGGATCAGACAATTATAACACCCTTAAACTATCGGCATAAGTTAATGTAAGCTATTAACAACTGCAATATTTTTTTAAAGATATATACTTGTTACTAATGAATTAGCATTTAATAATTTATGTGTTTTAACTATTATCCTTTTAGATGATTGCTGGGCATAAAGTTTGAATCCATTAGATGGTGAATTTTATGCTTCCATATTAGCAATAGGCAATTGTTTGAAGTTTGTAATTACTATTTTAATACATAATTTTCTTAGTGCAGCTTGGATTTAATAGAGAAACAAGTTAAAAATATCGGTATGAAGAAATACTTTGAAGCAATTTATGCTAACAATAAGTCATGCCAATTTGTTTAATATGAAATATATATAGACATTAGTAACTTAGATAACCGATCATAAAAATATATATGAACTAATTATTATCAATGTCATAAATGTCAAGTAGTACAAAGATTACTTTCGATTCCTTAATAAACCATTGAGAATGTTTCAAATCATTTGAAAATATGAATGATTTATTTATCATGAAGTAATGACAAATAAGATGAATTCATTTGACCAACAAATCGCATAAAAACTAGTAGAGAAAAAATTTCAATTGTTTTCTAATTTTCATTCGATTTTCTCACCTCCTAAATCATCGCTTAGGACTAGGCCCCAACATTTGGACACCGCTAAACAAATAAATACGACTAATATTCAATCCATTGTCTAAAGTATTTTTTTTCTTCTTCTAAGTAATGTTAAGACAATAGTTAAAAAGAACCACTACCCACAATTCCTCCCCAATCCACTAATAATTTACTCTAAAAATCAAAATAAGTTAACTCTAACCGAGACAACAACAGGATCTTAAGTGACAATTATAAATCCACCGTCTAAAGTATACATAGGATAAAATTCTCCGGCAAATGGTCCAGGTAGGGATGGCAACAAAACCCGAACCCACGGGTACACACCCGACCCAACCCGGTCAACGCGGGTAAAATCCATGTTGACAGGTTTTGGGCCGGGTTTGGGTTTAAACCCGTTCACTATTCATTGGGTTGGGTTGGGTTTGGGTTTAGGTAAACCCGACCCATGGGTACCAGCCCACACTCATATAATTAATTTTCTCGGTATATTTAATAATCTAAACAACTAATCTTATTTATGTTTGTGGAGATATTTCTAATTTTTTCTTTCTAATTGTGTAGAATGAAGTTGATGTTATCGAGTGGAGAGTGAAGAGTGAAGAAACTTAATTGAAAGGAAGAAGCTTTCAACTAATCATGTTATTTATGGATAATTTGTGATTTGTTTCAATTTTCTTGAGTTTTCTAGATTGGTGTTGAACAATTTGTATAGTTAATTTGTGATTTGCTTCAATTTTCTAGAATGGTGTTTTATATATGGATAATTTGTATTGAGAGATTGATATTTGACTTTAATTTAATAGAAACTTGTTATTGTAAACTTTTTACTACAAAAACCCGTGGGTACCCATGAACCCGCGGATACCCAGCAAGTTGGATTGGGTTTGAGTTTTTCAAACTCAATGGGTTTTACCCCGAGTATTTTTCACGGATAAACCCATGAATTTGGGTTTGAGTTTGACAAAACCCGATCCAACCTGACCCATTGCCATCCTTAGATCCAGGACCTAATCCAGTGATTATTAATTCGCATGTCGCCGACAAGCGGCAGTGTACTATTGTTCAGGTGCCGGCCGCCACTGCCCGGTGGCTACTTTCTCAGGATGATTCCGTCATCCAGCCCCTCTCTAAACCCTAACCCTAATCCCAATTTTCTGCTCCGATTGAACCCCTCGAGCTGTATTCCGGCCTCGATTTCTCCTCCCCACCGTCGTCGCCCCAACAGTTACTGCTGTAGTTACAGGTCTCAATCACAAGCCATGACGGTCTCAAACTGCAGCACCGGTTCCGCCTCTTCTGGCCCGGTTCCCATTTCCACCGCATCCGACTACCAGCCAAGCCCACATTCCACTCTCATGGTCGTGTCTTTCTATCGCTTTGCGGATTTCCCTGACCACGCCAATTTGCGGAAGCCATTGAAGGAGCTCTGTGAGGAACTGGTAACCTCTCTGTCCCTTTCCCTCGTTTGATTCGCTGATGATTTAATTCGTAGTTTCTGGTCGAGTGATGAATTGGAGTTGAGTAGCATTTATGTCAATGTGTGCTCACTCTGGCATTTGAGTTCGTCGCTTGAACTATATGCCATTAAGCTGCCGATATAAAATGTTAATTGATGGGGTGTTCTCACCTTGTCAAGTTGATCCTTTTCAGCGGGTTTCGGGTGGTGTCATTCTTGCACCGGAAGGAATCAATGGGAGCATATGTGGGACTAGGGATTCCGTTGGGAAAGTTGTTGCATTTATCGAGAGTGATTCCCGGCTAAAGGGACTGAGGAAGATAGAGTCACCTGTTAGTCCAGAGGAGGAGGCTATCCATCACGGTCACAGCAGCAGCTCTCCTCTTTCTGCAGGGGAAGATACACCTTTTCGATGGGATCATGTCAGGGTGAAGCTGAAGAAAGAGGTAATTGCAACTCTGAACTCGAAACAAAGTCGTTCAATAGCTATGCTGAATCCTGATTTTGCAAACTTAACCCGGGCATGATCGACTTGTGCCTAGACAGATTGTTTCTCTTGGAATGCCAGCTGTGTCACCCATTGAAAGGGTTGGGAAGTACGTGAAGCCAAGGGAATGGAATGCATTGATTAGCGATCCAGATACAGTGAGTGGGTTGCTTTCATTTGACTTTCCAAAGTTGGATACTCTGCTGTCGACTGTCGTACACTTCGTGGAGAATTTTGACAACAAAGTTTTTCTTGGGTAATCCATATTGGATTTGCTGAAAAGTGGACTGAAAATTGTCATTTGTATGCCTAGGTAGTGATTGATGTGAGAAACAACTATGAAACAAGAATAGGGAAATTCAAAGGAGCTGTTGATCCCTGTACCACAGCATTTCGGAACTTCCCTTCTTGGGTGGATGATCAGTTTGAACTTCCCAAAGCAGAAAGCTTGAAGCAGCAATCAGGTGGCAGTCCTGAGTTGAAAACCGAGTGGCCCGAAAGGAAAAAGCCTCCACGGGTTGCTATGTACTGTACAGGTGGCATTCGGTGTGAGAAAGCTTCAAGCTTTCTCCTCCAGAAAGGCTTTGAAGAGGTAATTTTCCTGTGCTGAACCATATCTGCTTTGTACTGATCTTCTGATCGTAATTACCTCTTATACGTTATTAGGCTTAGAAGGACCATGTCATCATAGGCCATCACTAATGCATTTAGCCTTCCTGTTTTGTCTAGTTACATTTGTGCGCATAACACTACCCTTTGAAATTAGGCGCCGTCTTGAATTTGCTTCTGATAATGCGTGAACAAAAATATTGAATGAACCATAATAGACAACTTGGTCACTGATAGGTTTATCATCTGGAAGGAGGAATCTTGAAGTACCTCGAGGAGGTTCCAGAACCAGAGAGCCTGTGGGAGGGCGAATGTTTTATCTTTGACAAGCGAGTATCTGTTGAGCACGGTTTGGCACAGGGAACTTTTAAGCTCTGTTATGGATGTAAGCAACCAGTGAGTGATGCAGACATGGAAACACCAGAGTGGGAACGTGGAGTTACTTGTCCTCACTGCTACTCATCGAAATCTGAAGAAGAGAAAGAGAGGGCTCGAGCACGACAAAGGCAGTTTGACGCCTGGGGCATCATTGGCGGTCCTGACAAGGGACGACGACCCACATCAAAGGAAGATGCGAGAGCTAAGAACTCCAACAAGCTTTCCTCTTCATTGTAAGGCATTAAAGCTGTATTTGGTTACAGAATAACATGATTGCCCTGATTTTGTGATTTTATAGGTTCGGATTATAGGGTTTCTGGTGACGGCTTTAGCAAAGATGCCATTGGTCTTGTAGTCACAAGAGAAGGTCCTTTTTTGGGAAGCGACCTTAGTCAGCGGATCCTTGTATAAGTGTATTCAGTGTTCTTGAAGTGATTGTTGTTGTTCATCTACCTAGGTTAGAGGGAGAGGGTGACTTAAAACAATCAAGAAAATATTGGCTTGATAATGAGGTTGCCTTTTAATTTGATTCTTTTTCTTAATAGATCTTTTCATTTCCTTGAATGTTGCAAGATTTGATTGTTCATGTTGAATTTTATAGTTACACCATACTATCTAGATATCGACTAACTGCTCATTTCAATCCCTCTGCCTCTTCGATAACCCATCTTACCCTTCAACTCATCTCCCACAATCTCACTTCCAACTCCTCAATCTCCCCATCCTTCTTCTCTATCAGCCTCCTCTGCTCTTCAATCACTCTTTCCTTCTCCTCAACAACCTTACTCTTCTGTCTCAACACCTCTCTGCTTTCCTCCAAAAGCCTCTTGTAATGGTCCACGATCTCCTCCTTCTCCGCCATCCTCGCCCTGCACTCCTTCAGCTCCTTGCTCTGCTCTTCCAATTCCATCGCCAACTTCTCGACATCAACGACATCCTCATCATCTTCACCAACATCATACCGCTTCCACGCTGTCGCCACCTCCGGCTTCACTCCATACCTCCACCACTCGAACATGCTGTTAATCTTCAGCATCAAGCTGCTGCCAAGCGCCAGAGCCTTGCAGGCGTCGTCGTTGCAGTATCCGACCTGGTAGCCCTCGCGATTGACCAGCAACTGTGAGGTGAAGAGCTCTGCCCGCAGCCTTCTCAAGTTGGCACCTTCGATCACATTGCCGAAGATCTCCAGCTCTGTGTACAGCTTTCTGCCTATAGGATTGGCAGCAGCAGCAGCAGCACTACTGCTGCTGCTGCTTCTGTTGTTGAGCGGGCATGTCACTATGGCGACGGTCTTCCACTCGTGGAAGGTCGTGGGGAAGCGGTTGAGGTCGCTTCGGGTGTCGAGGACGACGATGGTGCTATCTACTGTGCCGTAGAAGAAGAGGGAGTTGGAGTCCACCACAAAGCGTGCCATTGTGTTTTCAGTTCGTGGGGTGGGAAATGGGGAGGCTTTCTCTCTATATATATATGGACTAAGTAAGTTGAGGCTTAGTATGGGAAGTTGAAGCATAGGAAACTGAAAAGACGAAAACATTGGGAAAACCAGATTCAGTAAATAGGAGAAGGGAATATCCAAGCCAAACTCAGAAGTTGTTGGTATAGTCAAAAGTGACAGTTTGGAGAAATGGGATTAAGAGATTGTGTAGAATCTTTATACACGATGTGATCAACATAGATCATGGGAGTTTGATACAACAGAGACGTGAGAGCAGATTCTGCAGCAGAAAACTGTGGAACAGAACGTGGAGGGAAAAGCGGAGGTAGATAACTTCAATTCCAACTAAATTCGATTGGTTTGTATATCTGTATATATAAGGCTGGAGTAATAATATAATCAAGGTAGCTTCCATAGCATAGTGGTAGTGCGTTCCCTTCGTAAGGGAAAGGTCGTGAGTTCGATCCTCACTGGGAGCTCTTTTTTCAAGTTTTTAATTTTTTTTTCCTGAATTTTGTTGCAGCTACCGAGGCCCAAAAAGGGCCCAATTCTCTGTCGGATAGTCTGGACGGGCCCAATTCTCCGTCGAGAAATTATCAAATTAGAAGAGAGCTGCAAATGGGAATATTAGCACATTTGAACATCTCTTTCGTAATCAATTTCCCAGCATTTTATTTTTTCGATTCTGACTAGGGTTTGGGTGAGTGGGTTCCCCCGAAGATCAAAATCAAAGAATTTTTAAAAGTTCTCTCGAAATGACTGGTGGAGGGATGATGAAGTACTTGAGCCCGAAGGTTCGTCTCCAAGCCACCGAGATCCAGTCCTTGGCCTTTTGGGGCGCGGCCGCCGGCGCCGGCGCTATCTATCTCATTCAGGTACGATTGCCGCCCTCTACCCATATTTCACATCGAACCTGTTGATCTCATCCCCTTGCCAATCATCAGCCCCTGTCTTTTGCATCCTCTGCCGATTTCTGTGGGACCTGTCAACCTGCTGTTGTAGATGCACGGAATTTACTCACGTGATTGCCCTTGACTTTTTGCAATTGGATCGCAAAGATGATGATTTTTGCTTGCAAATGATGTTCCCGTTATGGGTTGCTGTATATGCTAATGTTTCTGATTGTGGCCCTGGTTGTTTGAGGATTCCTTGATGCTTTGTTTTGTATTGATATGGGATCACGTTAGAATTGCATTTTTGTTTCGTAGTATTGGACATGATAATCTCTAATGGTCTCTGTAATGATGGATGGTCTCTCTAGTGCTGGTTGGTTAGGAAATGCGAAGCATTCACTTCTGAATGGCTGTTGACGTTGTTCTTTGTCCATTGATGAATGGCACACATTATCCTCATCCTGCTTGTAGGGCCGTTCATTTTGCTGTTTTTGCTTTCAAATTGTTTTTTATTATCTTTCTTATTCCATATTTTTGGTCAACTTTTGGAGTTAATATCTGGTTTTTGAACATCCCCCCCAATTGCACACGCCCTTCTCGAGTCCAGATGTTTCCGATGTTTGTTTTCTGTGTGCTACCATGTATATGCTATATACAAGATGGAGATGGTGACATTAGACATCTGAATGTTGGGGTTCTCTGGTGCCTTACTTAACTTGTCATGGAAATTGCAATGGCTGTGGGCTGTAGTAGGATATGAACCAGAAATAGAAACTCTTTCACTATCTTGTTCCCTACCAATTACCCATATACACAGTTTGGGAAAACAGGAAGCACGGTGTCGTAGTGGATATCCCTCTTATCAAATGTCAATTTGTAGCTTCTAGTCTAGCAGTTGAATGTTATACGTAATGCTGGCATTTGAGTTACAAAGCAAACTAGATTTTGATTGCTTGTATTCGCTATCATCTGTTATCTTTGTTTCTAGTGTTCATGGTACAAAAATTTCCTCATTCACTGTGACAGTGCTGAAGTATAATTTTCTTTGGATTTAGTTTGTCCTTCACATAAAGTTCACTTCTTCTATCAAACGAGCCTTCTTACGGTTGAAATGTTTTGCTACTTCAAATATCTAGTTAAAGATTTGAATTGACATCTGATATCCATAACGTGGTTGTTCTCCTCGGATACTAGTGTTCGTATTCTGATATCCTCTTGTTTTCGTTTGAAGAGCTTTCCACGCTTATAATTACCTTCTCAATAACATGCAGTATTCGATATAGTTCTTAAGTACTGATCTCGCTTTCTGTTCCCCTGCAGCCGTTTAATTGGATTAGGAAGACATTCTTCGAGAAGGAATTGGATGAAGGGAAGTGAGAAGGCAGGAGACTGGATTCGAATTTTGGGCCAAATTTTCTGTGTTCTTCTTGTTAGGTTGGTTTTAGAGATGAGAGAATGAACCCCAAGGGTTGGATACAATAATGATATCTGTGTTTTTTGGGTTTGACAAACTTTCTGCTGAGGCCGCCATTGCATACTGGTCTTTTGTAACCCTTGATTATATCAAATCGCACTTTTACAGTTTCTGGAATACGAGCTTTGCCCCCTTTTGCTGAAAGCCTAGTCATTTGCTGAGCCTCTCAGCTTTCCAATTTGGGATGAGAAGGGGTTATCAGCGTATCTCATTTCAACCAATTTCATTAATCTACAAGAATTTGTAGATCCCAAAATGTTATTTACTTGATCCAACTGCAGATGACCGATGGGGAGTATCAAACCGTCGATGCGGTGTTAGCAATGAGCAAGATAATATGGAAGTTTATGGAATGGAAGACTATCAACTATAAATATTAAATAGTGTGAATGTATCACATTTAATATTGTCGGGCTCTCTCACTCGAAACCCATATGCATTGCTTATATTTCTGAAGGATCACTTTTTATTTGATCGTTGGAGAACTAACGAACCGATTGGACCTCCTCAATATTTTCCTTTTTTTAGAGTTTGAATGTTCCATTAAAGAAAGACATGTGGTGCTTACATGAAGAGTTAAAAATGATTGACCAACCATTGAGAATTTGGTTGAGAGATTAGACTAAACTTAGCCAATGTCCACCCCTACCCTTGAGTAACATGTAAAAAAAATCAGAGAGGTAATTAAGACGAGGGCATTTATGGAAATACATGCCCTGATTTTCTTTTCAGCGCCAAATCCGAATGCCATTTACACTTAGCTTCCTCTCTTTCAAAACTCCTACCGTTTTCAGATAATTTCCCCTTCCTCGTCTCTCCCAACTCCTATAAGCCCTAGCGCGGCGAACCAGCATCCTGCAGAGCCACCCGCGCGCTCTCTCTTCCGTTCTTCGCCAATTTCACCATCTCCGGGGACTGTATATCTGTACAACTCCCCATCTCTCCCTTCCATCTTGCAACTTCAGTCCTTTCTTTTGCCAGGTGTTCGAGAGTTTCGATTTCGGTTTGGGCCCTTTCAGTTTTCAGTCGAAGTAGCTCACCCTGAACCAGGTAATCCACCGGTTTCTCTTCAATCGAATTGATTTCCTACTTTGTTATGCGGTTTCTATATGTGTAATGCGATATGGCTATCAAAATAGCGAGGTTGAAATATTGTGTATTGATCTGCAGGATGAAGCGGGTGTGCGAGGCCAGTGATGACAGAATCACCAGCCTTCCCGCCGATGTGATACATCACATTCTGGCGTTCTTACCCATCAAAGACGCAGCGAAAGCCAGTACATTGTCGAGAAAATGGAGGCATCACTGGAGAAGCATCCCTCGACTAGTTTTCGATCATGGGTTTGCTCGAAACCTAGAAGAGGATGTCGGTGAGTCGAGCGCGATGAATAACCGGATAATGCTGAACATCTGCACTGCCCTGCTTGTTCACGATGGCCCGATAACCAAGTTCGAGCTTTCGATCCCTGGATTATGCGCCTGCCGTGAAATCGACCACATCATTCTTCACCTTTCCAGTAATGGTGTCCAGGACTTTACCCTTATGTTCTACTGTCGTTACATTGGCACCGCCGGTTATCAGATGCATACTTCCTTGTTTTCTGCGCTTCACTTGAAGTCCTTGACGCTTCGATCTTGTGCGTTTACGCCACCAACTTGGTTCACTGGCTTCAGCATGCTTACCAATCTTCAGTTAATAAATGTCATTTTACCCTCTGATTTCTTCAAGGAGTTCCTTCCCAAGTGCCCAATGCTGGAATCTTTGAGGGCGATAGAATGTAGCGCCCCTGCCGGTAGGCTCGAGATCGTGGCTCCATTTCTCAAATACTTCACCTTTGTGGGCTCTTTTCTGGATGTCTGCTTCGAGTATGCACCACTTCTGTCATATGTCTCGCTTGATTTGGCTGAAAGCAACACGCCTGATATGGTATCTTTATTTGCTTCTCTTCCAGCACTCCAGCAGCTCCTTGTTAACTATGACATCCTGAAAGTAAGGTCTAACTTATCACATCTTATTTTCCATTCTGTATCATAGGGTTGCTTTACTCATTAATGCTATTATCAGTTATGTAATGTATATTGTCTGGTTTCTCTTAGTTCCTTGCTCAAGGTGATAGGAACTTCCCCACCAGGCTTCCTACCCCTATCGAGGGGTTAAAAGTCCTAGAGACGATCAGTATCGTCTTTGATGGTCTGGAGATGGAGCGTGTTTTCGTGTGTTTAATCATGAGTTCCCCCAACTTGCGTAGCCTCACAGTTCAGGTTGGTTGCATATTGCAGACTAAATTTTCTGTTTGCAGGAGGACTTATGAGGTGCATAAACTTACTTTTTGGTATCTAGACTGACTTTGGTTCCTACACAAAATGCTCTTGTAGATGGAAAGTGGTGAACCACCTGATTTGCCCGTTAATGATGAAGTTAGCAGCATAAGGAGATTGTTGGAAGCAGAGGACTCCCCTGGCTGCCTTCAGTATCTTAGAGAGTTCAGAATTGATGATACTTGTGGTTGTCAGGCTGAGCTGGACCTCGTGAGGTTCGTACTAGCCACTGCCCCAATACTTCAGTCGATTCACATCACGGCTTATTACAAAATGGACACCAAGAAGGTCATGAAACTAATGAAGGAGGTGATGCATTATAAGCGTGTCTCTAAAGAAGCCGAGCTCATATTCAACTGGAACGACGACGAGGATTGACACTTCTCCTGTTTTGCATGAGGCTGCTGCCTTTGGAGGAAAAGATAAAGAGTTTTGGGAATCTGCCATTCCTGCAATCTTATTTGTTTTGGGTCTTTAGATTTTTTTTTTTTTTTTTGCAAAACACCTTGCATCTAGGAAGAGCACTTGTGAATCACTAATGATATACCATAAGCGTCATAGCCAAGCTGCCAAGGCAAAGAAGTTCATCCCAAGATCTTCTAATTACCTTCAACATAGTGTTTAAAGAATGAGGATAGTTGTGGTGCACGATAATTGCCTTCAACATAATGCTCAGGAATGTTATGAGAATGATCGAAACTTTGTGTTGGTTTTGCATGTTGAAATCATAAACCATGAACTTCTTCGTTACAGAAGTGACATGGTTGTTTGTATGAATGCTATGTTAGTTGAGAAATGTGAGGATGTATGTTCTAGCTATAAATTGTGAAACCTACTTTCTTTTTTGACAAGCAATGTCAATTCTTATAGCAAACTTAAATCGTCGCCATTGTACCCAATAGCAAACATAACGGTATATTTGGTAAATACTTTGTTCAATATTCATTACATGTTAAATTTTTTGTTTGTGTTACTAACGAACTATTTTATTTTTTTCTCGTTCTTACATTCTCTTATATTAGAACACATACCACACGTTTAATTTCCTATTTAGAAGTTATGGGCATTAAATGCCAAAATGCGAGTCATTTGCTGAGCCTGACATGAATTTATTGAGAAGTTACGGGATATTGGGAACGACTCATTATTGGTTTCTTTCATTCAAAATAAAAAAAAAAAGTAATAACCATTAGCCGACCTTAAATCTTAAATTGTCTTCTTCTATGAATCTGTATTGTATTTACGAGATTCTTGTCTGTCTGATTTTCATACGCATAAGTTTCATTTACAAACATATTCACAATCATTAAAAGTTCATGAGAATTTTGTTCGGGAATATGATTGGTGAAAGTTTCTCTTTTGTGGAGTCTAGTTTTGCACAGCACACCTATAAAGACACATATATTACCTATTGGGATTACTTTTCAGTTTTCACCCTAATAGAATGCCATGCCGATAGTCTAATATAGGCACACAAAAAAAAAGGGTGAAGTAGAGCAAAAAGCCCAAATTGGGAATTTCTGAATGAAGGAGAGATTGTTTGTGGGGACTAAAACGGCCGTTTGAATAGCAACAGCAAACCCCCCTGCACTAACTAACTAACTAACTAAAACTGGAATCAGTCAAGATCCCAACTTCCCAGCAACCATAACATTTTGTGAAAAAGAAAAATAATCTCTGGAACTAGGAGAAAAAGGAGGAGAAAATAGAAGGGGAAAAAAAATTTAGGGAAAAAATTTTTTAGGGAAGACCTTGGAGAAAGAAAAGAGAAGAAAAAGAGGAAAATATTGGGGGAGGAGGAAGCCAAGCCAGCAATAGCAAATAGGCAAAACGAGGAAGAGTCACACGGAGAGAAGAAGGAGAACGAAGAGGATAATCCTCGCGATTGAGAGATGGTAAGTTATTAAGTCACTCTCACTCACAAATGGCGTAAAGCGTTGAATGCCAAAAAAAAAACACACAGAGCTCCATTCCAAAGTGCGCTTTCTCCGACTCTGTTACACGTGGTGCTCTGCATCTCTCATCTTTCTCCTCTGTTTTTCCTTCTTTTCGGTTTCCGTTTCTTCTCACTATCCAAACAAACAAACCCTTCTCTTCTCTTCGCTTCCCTTTCTCTTCTCTTTGCTCTTCACACCGCCGCCGACAACAACAGCCACCGTCTCTGTGAGTTTTTCCTCCCCCCTCCCGCACCACCGCCATTCATTTTCCGTCTCTAACTCGGACTACTGTTTCCGTTCCATGCACGGACTCAATCGCCGGAACCAACCAACTCTGTCCTTTTTATTCACCTACCTGATTTTTTTTTTTTTCTTCTTTCCTTCCTCTTTCGCTTCTTTTTTTCAGGGACTGAGTTGGGCGTGGAGTAGTAGCGATGGCGAGCGCGAAAGAGAAGGAGAAACAGCTGCTGGAGCTCTTACATGCAGCCAAGAAAGCCGCCGACGCCGCCGCCGCCGGCGGCGGTGGTGCTGACGAATCCAGGTGCGTCGACGCTTTGTCTCGCCTCAAGGATTTCCCCGTCACCGTTCAAGCCCTCGTCTCCACCCAGGTAATTAATGTCCTATCCCCCTGCTCACAGAATCTCTTCATTGCCGTTTAAGTTTTTCTTGCCCCTTGCTTTTTCTAGGTCTCTTCTTTCCTGCCTGTACAATGTGCGGTAATACCTCGTCGTGCTTCAATGAAACTAGAAAAAGATGCTACCTTTCAAGATCTGTTACCAAAAAAAGCAAAGGACTTTATTGTCGCCTGTACAAGAACAATTAGTTGTGTGTGTTTTTCAGGTGCAGTCCCCCTGTTGACGAGTTATGAACATGAGTATCAAATCAATGGTAGTAATGTGTCTCTGTTTTCTTTTACTTGTCAATGCCATTGATTGGTCATTGTTGAAAGAGGCAATGTTTTGAATTTTGATGCAGTGATTGACTCTGTTAAAGGAAGCATATCACCCCCTATAGCCTCTCCCTAGCCATATTCCAGAATGCATCTATGTCTCCTTGTGCACAAGGGTGTTTTGGGAAAACGCTGCGGCGTCCCAGATTCGCGCGTGTGTCTCGAATCGTTATGGGAGCTGGTTTTCTTGTTATGGCAACTTATGTTGGAATGCAACCTTTAATGCATCGATTGCTTAGCTTAGTATATGTTTGGATCATATGTCGAATTTTTCAAAACGCCATTTTTTATGTTGCATTTATTGATCATTACTGTCATGTTTCGACCAATGTACTCATGCGTACTCAAACATTCATGTGACGATTGAGTGCGTACGAGTACATTGCTCGAAACATATGAATCAGACACTAGATAGTGCTGTGCATCATGTTGGTGCTCTTTCAGAATAAAGCTTAGCTTCTAAGTTTTGCTCATAATATGTTGGAAAGCACAACCTACCCTCTGAAACTGAGGAAGTAGATCTTGCCTTGTCCACTGTCCACAGTAGTAGGGTTTGTTACTACACACATTCTCCAGTTATGGTTCAGAACTCTTAACAAGTATCCTTTTGTCTCAGGTAGGGAAGCAGCTTCGACCTCTTACGAAACATGCCAGCAAGAACATCCAGCAACTCGCCTCCGACATCTTCCAAACATGGAAAGCCATGTTCCTCGAGCAAACCAACACCTCCAATGCCGCTGCTGCAGATCACAAGAAAGTCACCAAGCCTTCTGACTCGGACAAGCTTCACATTGCGACCCCGCCGATGAAGCCACACACGCCAGACAGAAAGACTCCCAGTAACAATCCCGCTGCTTCGACAAAGCCAACCCCATCACCTAAACCCAAAACCACCACTGCTGCTGCTGCTGCTTCAACGAAGCCGAACCACTTCCCTAAACCCAAGACCGCCACTCCCACTTCCTCTCCCGCCATCCATCTCCCCGTTCCCAAATGCAACGATCCCACGAGGAACAAGATCAGGGAGCAACTCTGCGAGGCTCTATGCAGAGTTTCCGGTGAAGTATCCCCTGAGCTCTCCAGCCGGGTGAATGCCTGTGACCCGGTCTCTGTCGCTGTATCACTAGAGTCGGTTATGTTTGCCTCGTGGGGGGGTTCCACCGGAGACCAGAGGGTGAAGTACAGGTCGCTCATGTTCAACATCAAGGACGCAAAGAACCCCGATTTCAGGAGGAAGGTGCTGCTGGGACAGTGGACGCCAGAGCAAGTGGTGAGCTTGAGTTCCGCGGAGATGGCAAGCGACGCCAGGCAGAAGGAGAATGAGAAGATCGAGGCGAAGGCTTTGTTCGATTGCGAGCTAGGGAGCGCACCTATGGCCACGACGGATCAGTTCAAGTGCGGCAAGTGCGGGCAGAGGAAGTGCAAGTACCACCAGATGCAGACCAGGAGTGCTGATGAGCCCATGACTACTTACGTCACTTGTGTCAACTGCGACAACCGTTGGAAGTTCTGTTAAATTAGCTTGTAGCTGGTTAGTGTCAATCTTTCTTCAGTTGAATTATTGACTTGGGGAGTAGGTTAGGGTAAGGAGTTTGATTTGTTGCTTGGTAGGCTTAGCTGAACTTTCTGTTGACAATCTTGATTTTGATCCCCCTTTGGGGAAAATGTTCGTTTTCATTTGTATGCTTTATCTCTAATGTATGTCCCAAGATTCTTGAATCAGAATTTTGCTGCTGTTTTTTTCCTCGTCACATTAACATTACATATCAGAAGACAAATAAAGTTGCAACAACTTGTTTCTGCTAGTAGAAGATGGATATACTAAACATGAACTCTATTTACAACAATGTCACTACATCATCCAAAGACGAGAAACATCCAACGATCCGAATCATCGCGAGAATCGAAGTTATTCAGCCTTGAGATTGAGGTGGAGCTGTGGTGGTATCTTGTTGCTTGAGAGCCTGGAAAACCCTGGAGCTCGTATCAAAGATCTGGGCTCTGCGATTGTAATCAGTAGGGTTCTTCCCCTGATCATCTCCCATGATTGCTTCAGCCTCAAGGCACTCCAACAACTCCACCACTCCTTTCCTTTCTCTGCATTTCTCCTGCACAAGCTTCCCGAATTCGACATCGATCCAGTCTTCTTCTTCTCCTCCTCCTGCTTCTTGTTGAGGGCGGTGATTCAACTTGGCACACTTCGCCACCAACCCAAATGAGCACTGGTTTTTTCTTCTCATGGGGATCAATGGCTGCGATGGTTGTGGATAAAGTTTGGTTCTTGGAAGAGAATAAGGAGAAAAAGAGGCGGGTGTGGGATAAGGAGTAATGCTGCAGCTGAATGTTCTCATGGTGATTTGTGGCGTGGTTGAATTGAATGGGGTAATTGGTAGTGTCGATGGTGTGCGGTACTTATAATGGTATCGAAGGTTAGAGAGGCCAGCTAGCGGCACGTTTCTCGAAACGTGGCAGCTGATGAGGCTGTGGAGACAGACACGTGGCAGGTCCAGGAAGGAGAGAGTTCCAGACACGGCTGAAAAGTTGGACCAGGCTTGCTGGATTGATTCTGGGCTTTCTGGATGTGCTGTTATAAACGTGTATAATCCGTTAATCTCGATAATTTGAGTTGTTGATAAAGGTTGAATAATGTATCTTTCTTTTATTACATACTCACATTTTTTTCAATCGGAAGTCATCTATAAGAACTTGAAGTTTGCATTACTTGAATGTCATGTATTTAAGAAAGATTCTATTTCCCTAGATGTACAGATTTTGTTTAATTATGGTCCTCTAAACTACATTAAACGGATGCTACAAAGCTGGAGATGAGGCTGGAAGTCTGTTCTGCATTAGTCTCCTCTCAGCAGCTATGGCAGCTGCCACGGCTGGCGGCAGCTGCCTTAGGCTAGAAGTACTCTCACTGGCCTCCTTTTCTTCTTCTGTTTTCTTCTCACTATCTTCTGCAGCTGGCGTTGAAGAAGCAAACAGACACTCCACGTCCTTAAGCGTCAGAATAGGCTGGTCCTGGTTCTTGGTGTTCCCACTTATGAACGAAGTCGTCGTCGTGTTCCTGCTTCTGTTCAGCTTGTGGATGCTCTCTTCCACGGTGTTTTTAACTATGAAGCGATGGACGAGAGTGCGCTTCTCCTGTCCTATTCTGTGCACCCTGCTGATTGCTTGTGCCTCTGCTGCTGGGTTCAGCAGTGGCTCCACGAGCACGACGTGCTGTGCTTCCAACAGATTGAGTCCGTTGGCTCCGTGCTGAATCAGCAGGAGTAGGACTTGGATTGATTTGGGTTCTTGCTGTTCGTCAGTAGATTCCTGGTTTTTCTTGTTCTGCCCTCTGAACTCACTAATGGCAGCATGTGATTTCCTGCATTTACCCCATCATGGTTAGCAATGACTGGTTGTTGAGAAATGAGAACCACCGTATATCTGAGAAGTCCAAAAGTTTGCTGTAACTAACCTGCCTCCTTTCATGCGAATATACGTTATCCCATTTGCCTTGAAAGCATGTTCTAACACATCCAGGACATCATTCCAGCTTGAAAAGACAAGAACTTTGGAATCGGGTTCTGAAAACTTGATCCACAGCACTCTTCGCGTCACTGCTTCAAGCTTCACATCCGCAAATAATATTATCAGCAGAAGTTGTCGGATTTGTGATTTAGGGTAAATCATTCTTTTGTTCTCTTTTTTCACATGACTAAGTAATATGTGGCATCGGAAGATAAATACATACCTTAGTACCATAGGAACCTTGGACAGCCAAGGATGCTTCACCCTTTTCACAATCTTGTGATGTTGGTGAATTATCTGACCCGGAAGATTTCTCCTGTCTATCATCAACATAAGCAATGTTCCCATAATCTGTACGCTGTCGACACGTTGGGCACATCACCCATTTCGGCTGCTGCTGGGACTTGTTATAATCCTGCTGCGGTTTGAATCTGTCATCTCGAATAAGCCTGCATGCGTAGAACAGTTATTCTTAGATCTTAATGTCCTAAAACATGTAGTATACTGATTATATAGCTGAAGCAGAACCTACATTTGCAGCAAGTCAAGTGTCCACATTGGAAGACCATCTTCTTATCGTTTAGCTTCTCATGGCAGATAGGGCATGCTTCTTCATCATCTTTAGTCAGACCATCACCTGCCCTCTCTGTAGACACAGATACTGAGGTTGTAGCTGACAAGGGGGTGTTTGAACATTCAGAAGAAACTTTCTGTTTTGATTGTACTAAACCCTGAAAGAAATTTCAGGTACCAAAGATCAGTGAAGGAAAAGAATGAACCAATTCGCTTCTAGAAACAGCTGAATAAGAGGTTGAAAATATAGGCCACCTATGGATGTATTTTGGTATTGGGTTGGACCCAAATGCATGTGGACTGCACTCATATTACAATAACTTAAAATCACATTCTTGCATTGTAGCAACTAATGAACCTTCCATAACAAATACACTTTTTTCACATATACTAAAGTTTTTTCACATCAAGACACCGATTTTGTTCAAGACACCGATTTTGTTTATCAACAATGGTGAGCGTATGAACATACCTTCAAGTACCGAAGCTTTCCTTTAATACGTGACAATAAATTCAGAGCCACGAACTTGTCACTAGATTGTAGGACGCTAGCTGTCTCTAGTTCCTCCGGACCTAATGCATCTAGAGACTTATCATTCTCGTCCTCTCTTAGATGCAGTCTTGATGTTGCCATCCTAATTTCATCATGAGCACGCAGAAACTGAGCTTGAGCAACCGCCAACGATCTTGCAGAACCATACTCCTTCCTCATGCCCTATTAATTTTGGCAAGAGCAAAGGTCGAACCATCCAACTCAGTGGCTAGTAAGGCGAAACATTCGAACAGTATAAAAAAAAAAACAATAAGGGAGTTCGCCAGATTGTACCTCCAGTAAATGAAGCTGCTTGTTGGCTGCAGACAAGTGTTCCTTGCTTAAGTGAGCCTTGCAATAGCTTTTTACTACTCCAAGTACAACCTCGAGTTCCGAGGGCAATTTTTGAAACTAGCAATTCCAATGTAATAAGCAGCTATTACAAACCAAATAATATTCGTTTAAGCATCTTTTTAAACAGTTACTTCCTTCACGAAACCAAACTACCAAAATGTAAGGGAAACTTTCCATTTTTTGCATGAACTGATAAATCAAATACAGAACTGGACATACAAAAAGTAATCCTATGGATAGATAAATGAAAATGAGGATTCACGGAAGGCTAATGCTCCTTTACCCCTCTCTTAGTTAATTGGATCAGTTAGAAAAGCTTACCACTACTCTTTCCCCAACATCTCTCTTCCTTGATTCTTCATTTACGTCACCAGCGACAAATGAGTTCTTTTCTGGCGTGATAAATTCCAATAGAAACGATTCAGTTCAGTGTTTCTTTTTGTAAATCCACTGCTTCTTCAGCAGAAGAAATTATCTCTCCGTCTGCTTGTTGAGGCGAAATAGCCTTGCTTCATAATCCTGAAGAAAGATTTTGCAAAAGATAAAAAACAGATCTGAGCTTTTTTGGTTCTTCAATACATTAGGGAACGTAGTACATATGCATATACAAACCTTGAACAATTCTTCTAGTTCACAATGAGACACATGTGGGGCCATCATCAACGCCTTGGCAACACGGCAATATCTAACACTTTCAATATCATCTTCTTTGGGGTTTTCCATTGATTTATCAATTTCCAATATTCGATCAACCAAAACTTTCTGGAAGTTTCCACTTGGTCGAGGCGAGTCTGGATGTGGTACTTTAGGGCAGTAATGCTTCGGAAACTGGATGAAATAGCGATACAAACAACATTAATTTTTTAAATGATATTTGAAAACTCGAGAAGATGATTGTATAATCTGAGTAAGAACAGTAAGGAGATCAGAACCTAAAAACTAGACAATACCACTTCACATAAATCCCAAAACAAACATCGACCAATACTTCCTTTTATGACTGAAAATTGACCAATACTGTTATAGCTGTAAGCAGAACTGCATCTTCCTAGTAATGGTTCCTTAAGCTGCTTGATATGTTACCCCTTAATACAAAAATATCCAATTTCGAACGAAAAATACACATATATTGCATTCTACATGCTATAGAAACATGGTTCAATACTTGGCTTTTGTCCTTATCATTAAGCATCTGCACCAATATTCTTGAATATGGTGATGGAGTTTATCTACGCTGTTGCCCTTTGAGCTAAAAACTATACCCTGGGAGTAGGATGCCTTATTCAGCAGAAAATTTGTAATAGCAGCAGTCCAGAGAACCTAGCTACTTACCGGGATGCAACTCTTGTGGACCTTGAGTTTTTTCGACTTCCTGAGATGGCCTCTTCAATCTTTTTTAGTAGTTCATTTGATATGCCCTCGTTCTGCCAGAATGATCAAGAGCATCCAACCACCAGAATGAATGTTCATCTTTTGAATCGCCGAACTCGTTAGCAACCTTTAGATAAGCATTCCGAATTCAGTTCAAACAAAACTACCAGACACATAAAATCAACCCACAGTATGCTGAAGATTAAAATGTAAAGGCATATGACATGTTTTGAGTGTAGAAAACTGAAAATAGCCATGAGTCTGATCCAATAACATGCATACACCAACTGTAATAAACAAATAAGCAGACTGGAGAGTGATTGTTGCCCCAAGGTTCGAACTATAGTGTAGTCAGAGTGGAGGGTGTTATCACCCCACATTATCACTGACCAACCCCTTAGGGTTAAGCATAAAGGTTTTTCATGAAGCAGTATGGTAGAGAAAACAACCAGCAAAAACTACCATGATTGAATGAAACGAAAAAACCTGGAGGAAATTGATGCTATGCAATCCTATAAATGCTACAGATTTGCAGGATAGCAAAATTAGGTGGACGAAATACCTGCACGTATAATTTTCGGAAGTCTTGCTGAGGTCACACAGAGCTTTGAACTAAACACAGACAGATACTTCTTTTCAAACTCTCGCATGTTATTCTCAGAGAGTTATCACTGAAGGATCTAGAGGCCATGAAGTTCTCACTTTCTTGGTCAGAATTTAAGCAAATTCTTTGACGGCTCAAATAAATTCGAAGCATGGGTGATCTCAGAATCTACTCCGATATTTTTCTGTCTCAACAGAACTCAGATCGCATTTTCCCAATATCGTGAACCTTGAAGACATTCTCAGAACATTTACGCTGGTCTCCATGAGAACAGTTCTCTGAAGAGAGTCCGGGTTCCTTTACAAGCACCTCGGCCAAATTGTGATGAATGTGAATGTTCAATAACGGGTCCACACGGAAAATCTTCAGAATGTTCATCAGTAAGAGCCAATGCTTCTTGGTACAACTTTACAGCTTCACCAAAATTTTGATTGATAATAGCTATCACCTGCAAGGGCATTTAAAGCCAACTACTAAACTTCCTGAGAGCTTCCTCCCCTTCTATCTTGGTCTTACTCACAGAACCTGCAAAATTTTACATACATAAGCTACAAATAGCAGAAGCTCCAAAGAATATTGGACGCAGTAGGTGTGTAACAGTGACCAAACCAGTAAATTTCCTCCATTGTCATGGGAGTTTGTTGTAGGGAACGTAATCCAGAACTTCCACTTGAGGGTGGCAGCAAGCTTGACGAAGTTTCAAGAGAGAATTTAGTAACTTTGCAGCTTCCGTGTGGGTGATGAATGGATTGGTCAAACTGTTAGAAGATATGCATCTGCATGAACATAAGGAAGCAGAAGCAACTTAGCAACCTAAGTAACCTTGCCTTGAATCGTGAGTTGTAATGAAGGTTCAGATAAATAGCTACTAACCAGAAGCTTCGCTTTTGACAATGTCAGCTTTCAAACTATCTATAACTTCACGGGCATAACTCACACATGTTTCATGCTGTCTCTGGTAAAAATGTTCCTCAATTGCTGAAAGAGCAAGCCAAGATAGGCACTCTTCCTGAGGCGGAAGTTGCAACTCATCTGCAACATGTGCTTTGGAAGATCGCCACATTATTTGTTTAAAGAAGTTGTGTGTAAACTCCATAGCCCCTTTGTCTTGCCTCTGCTAACATGCATAGTCAAGATGAATTGGGATTAAACCAAAGGTGGTCTAAAGTGGAACTACATGAAGTCCACAGTATTGTATTTAAGGAAATGCACTATTATATTGTGATTAAACAAGATGAAACTTAAGCATTATTCTTCCTCTTCTCATCTCACCCTGAGAAACGTTCATGTTTCCACTCTATGTTTTAAGAAGTTACTGCGTAACTAAGATCCATGAGAGGAATACCCATGTTCGCTAGCATTCCAACAAAATAACCTGCGAGATGTGTGCTTCATTAAAGCTCTCATACCTCATATGGGTCTCTCATGACATCAACCCACCACCTCGAGACATCAAAGGGTCTTGCTTTAAGGAACCTTAGAAGTCCATGTAAGTCATCAAGTTTGCGCTGAATAGGTGTCCCAGTGATGCACCAACGATGCTTAGCAGACAGTCGAAGGGCCATCTCTGTGGCACCTGCAGCATTACTCTCCACCATTTGTGCCTCGTCCAAGCAAAGCCTCCACCAAAATATTCTGGTAAGAAGAGTTGGAGTAACAGGGTACCTAGAAAAACCAACATCTTGAAGCATTAAGTTCAAAGTAACTGCAACAATAACTTGCCCCACATTTAAAACTTAACTGCCACGTAACTTCTTAAACTTTACTCAGTTGAGGAGTGGATGTACATTGAAAAAGGCAAGTATCACAAAAAACTCGAGACACTGCTGAATATCATCAGTTGGCAGAAAGCATGCACGCATGAGCCTCTCGATGTTAGAATTACTCGTCATTCATCACCCTTTACATTATTGAATATAAAGGGAAAATCCAGAATGCATGGAAAGATAAAGGGGGGAAAAGGTAAAACCAACATCTCAGACTGAAAGCAACAAATCACAAGGATTGTAAGAACCTCTTCTGGAATCTCAAGAAGTGTCGATCACCTTCGTGCCGATCAGAGTCATGTGACAAGTCCTCTCTAAGCACATCATATGTGGTTAGCACAATGTCTGCACAGACGAGTTCTTCAATACCAATTGCCGATGTATTCAAAAGAGATGACTCTCGAACACCCTCATAGACACAAACGTTTAGGGAGCCTGGACGTGTATGCCTGATCAAGGGAAAGAAGTGCAACAGCAAGCACGTTGAGCTTTTCTACACAAGGCAGGCAAAAACTTTAAATGCAATCCCAACCACCAAAAGATCATAGCAAACTGAAAGATTAATCTACGACCAAAAGATGAAATCATGAAAGTGTCTTTGGAAAGGATTCCTACATTGGAGGCCGCTGATGTTTTAGCCAGGCTAATGGCCACAGTATGCTGAAAGAGAATGGCATGTGAATTCTATGAACGCTTTCAACACAACATCATTTACATATAATATTCAATTACTTTTAGTAAAATCACCACGGTACGTGGGTGAGCATCACATGGCTCTTTCACACACATGTCCTAATGAAGAATTCTACTTGAAGTCCGTGCACGATCATTACAGAGTTTTTATTTTTTAACCTTCTTAATGAATCCACATAGAAAATTTCTTTGACTACTGTCCATGCAACCAAGGTCTCCTAATGGGAATAACATATATTGAACATCCTTCAAAGTAAGAGACCAACAAACCAATATAAGATGTTGTACCGGATAATTTCTGCATGCCACTGAGGCAGTATAGGAGCCGGACAAATAATAAGAGTGGCGCCAGTAGCAACGGGAGAGTCAGTAGCTTGAACTAGTTCCGAACACATCTGACAAATATGTTGACCATCTCTTTCGACAAAGCTGATTGTGGTCTTCTTTCTGTGTTTTTGTAAAACACTAGTTGACCTCTTTCGTTTTCCTTTTGGTGAGTAACCAACACAGTCTGCATGTTGCCAAGCATCACATATGTCACATTGTACCCAAAGTCCCGTGTACTTGTAACTTTCAGTTACGGCTCCACAAATGCACTCCACTCGCTCTCTTTTCAATCTTTTAAGAACCTTTTCATTCTCAGCATCTGTTTGTTCAATATCAATCATATTATCCTCATCATATTCAGTTCGACGATGAGCAAATACACAAGCAAGCAATTCCACAGTTTTCCCCAAACCCATCTCATCTGCAGAAGTCAAAAGGATCATAATCATTTACCGATCATCCACACGTGCAAAGAAGATACATGCTTCCTGCATATTTCTCTCCATCCTTTACAATGTCAAGGGTACATCAGTCTAGTTAATTATGTATAAACAAATCCCAAATTCGTTCAAAATTCTATGAAAGAGGGAGGACAATATATCCAACTTAAAATGGAAACACACAAAACCTCTGCTTTTTTTTTAATAAGGGTCACAGACAAAACTTCAGTTATTTGCATGCTGATAAAAAAATGATTGTAGGCAACCTAGCTTTAGATGAACTATCCTGATCATCATCTGCAAGAGCTGAAGTAGCCATATGATATGAATATGAGACAGTAAGTAAAGTGGATTTACCAGCAAGAATTCCACCCAAGATTGGTGGTGAGGAATATTCTGGTTGACGTGCAATATTGCCACTGCAGAGCGTATTAAAGTGTCAAGAGGAAGAGTGTGAATAGAACCTTAGAACTTTCCACATTATGTTCAGCTGGGGGGAAAAAACAAAAGTTGCACCTGAATGGATTGTAGAACATTCTTGTGCATCTGTCAAGAAAATTCACTGGCAAACTCAGTGGAGAAAAAGATTTACTTCTTTCCTCTTCACCATCACCTTTCTCTCTGTGCACCATCCAGAATGCTGCACGGCGCTGGTAGGGTCTAAGAACTGGAAGCAAGTCAGGCAATTCATCTTCTAGCATCTTTTCCAACCTATGCAGATAAACCGTGACAAGTTGTGCTTTAAATTTAGCAACATAAAGCAAGTAAAATAACTTCTTTTAGCCTGAAATTAGCATTAAGGTGATGATCAATAGTTCAGACCAAAACAGCACTTACTTGGATGGCTTAATGGCTTCATAAAATCCTGCAACATCAAACCTTGCACGCTTCCTGGAGGTATTACAGTCATGTTCAATCTCCATGATTCTATTGACGTCCACTTCCATGGATTCAGTCACTCCATATCTAGCCTCAGAAGTCATCACTTCTGGTCTCAGCCAACCCATCACGTTCATCATACTCTTCTTCCAGACCTGCCTGTTATATTCCAGAAGTGATTCACAAGCATCAAAAGCGTCCTTCACCATTTCAACTCTGATCCTTATGGTCCTCGTCTCCTCTGAACATTTAGATCCTAGAACTGGCCTCAGTGTCACGAACTTCATACTTATTAAGTGAACAAGACCAGAAACACCTTCATCTGGACCATCAAAACGCCCTGATAAGACTAGAGATTCATTTTCTCCGTCCTCAGCAATACTTTTCTCGACAATCTCCAACCTCACTTCATCAGAAGATACCACAGGCCAATGACCTAACTTAATACGATTAAGGTCGCTATCATCAACATCGCCAACGCATATTCTGAAGGAGTACTTCAACTCCTGGTAAAAGTCTTGATCTATAACAAAAGTAGGATACTCTTGACTTAGAGACAAATTACTTAGAACAACTTCAGAGAGATCAAGGTGCTCGACCGAAATCCAGTCACTCTTATCCACTTCAACATAATAGGGCTTATCTAATGGAAGTCCTTGCTCCAGTTCCGTGGCATCAGCTTCAATTGACTTTCCTTTATCTAATCCTGATCCAGACCCAGCAGCCTTACTAGGTTCTATAACCAAACCACCAGACCGATGAGGCCGGGATTGCTTCCTTCTGCCCATGACTGTGCTAAGTAGCTACAACATTCATAAAACAATGCAGAACTAACATAAGCACGAATAGAATAAACAACCAACACTCAATCCAGGCAACACTCCACTATCACATATAGCAAAGAACCGAACTTCAACGAAATTGGTGCAAACCCAGCTAGGAAATTCATGGAGGTAGAGTGGCTAAGAAGAATTTAACAAAAGGAGCATACTGCTTGATATTCTGTTGTGAAGGCAAACAAACCACGAATGTCAATTCTTCAAGTGGTTTCTTTCTCCATTGAATGGGCAAGCGGTACGAGGAACCCGAATCGGCAAGGAATTCGGATGGCAGAAGAAGTAGAATTGCACTGCAAAAGCAAATAAAGGAACCTGGAGATGGCAAACTGCCTCTTATGCTATGTTAATGGAGTGCAGCATGGGGGGCAGGGCAGGCTAAACTTGCAGAGAAGTGCAATGGGATAATTTGTCACGCGCCCAACTTAGGAGAGTCGGTAGCAACACGACCCCTTAATTGAAGTTCGGAGTTTTCGGATTCTTTTTCCGCTGTTGAGTGACCCTGGGATCGAGCAAATTACCTCAAAACCCTTTTTGATCCTCTGCTCAAAGTGACCTCCAAACTTCCCAATTACTTGAGACCTCTTTTGGCTGTTGAACTCGAGCGGAAACCCCACCAGCAATCCAATCGCCGCCCGCCGGCGCTTCAATCTTCGTTCGTGCCGCGAGTAGTAGAGGGCTGAACTGTAATTCAGCCTCGGCCGATTTATTTATCTGTTTTTAGAACTTCGTGGACTGCTTTGTGTTTTGGCAGAGAAATCCGAACACAGGGGACGAATATATTTTACCCTAATAACAAACTAAACTACTTTCCCTTCTTTCCTCCCCCAACTGTTCTCCTCTCCTTCTGCTTGCCTGCTGTTTTCCCCTACCCAGATCACAGTCACTCCTGTTACTCCAGGTTATTGCTTGGGTTTTCTCTGCCTTTCTTCAGCTACCAGGTACGTGATAACAAGTTCTAATTCCGGCAGTGCAAATTTGATGTCTTTTCACTTTTCCCTGTCCTCCCATGGCTTCATCATCGTAAAGTAACAATCTTTTGAACCTTCGAATAGCAATGTAGTTAATTAAACGTCCCTTTCGCCCTAACGGTCTCTGCCTTTCTTTTGTCCTGCCCCTTTGGGGTTTAAGGAGAACAAGAGATCGTTGTTGCTTCACATTCTCGTCCTTTTGCAATCCTTAGCTATGGCATAAAAGCTCTTTTTTTGCTGAAGAATACAATATCTTTTTATCTCCCCCACCTCTTGTCAGCCCAATGTGTTATGGCTTAGCAGCAGGGCTATAATTTGGATAGAATAAACTTATGAGGCTAGATAGTAACTAATGTTGCTAAAGAACTAGAATTGGCGAATACAAATTGTTCTGATCCTTTGGAATTTGGAAAAGAAGGGACAACCAGGAAGTGATGCAAGTAGTACAAACACCAGAAAAGTTAGTGCTTGATCCTTTTCTCAGTTACAGCATGTACCTTCCTTCTAGTAAAGCTTTGGAATATTGGTGCAGCCAGCGATAGGAAGTTCCAGTGCTTTGCTTGTATGCATTGAAAAGTCAAGTTTAGTAGACAACTTGAAGTTTAACTTAAGGGCAAGCACTTGATGCTATTTGTCGAATCATCTTAGGTTACGCTGTAGGCGTTGAAGTTGTAATACTTTTTCTAACTATCATTGAATGGAAAGATCCTAAATTTGATTAAGGGTATGTTGAATACAGTTGGTGAGCTTGGTGAAGGAAAGATGAAGGGAGGAAGGAAGAATTTGAAGAGGGCAGCAGCAAAGGAACATGACTTCACACTTCAAGGTGGGCAAAGCATAATGCAGGTTTTATCTCTTCGAGGTTCCAACCTTATCGAGGTGAGGTGCCCTTTTCTGGTTTGCCGGAAAAAAAGTCTGAATCCCCGGTGATTTGATTAGGGGGTTGTAGGTTATTTATCTGCTAAATGGAATGTTAAGATATATATCTCTTGTATCAGGTAGTGGGCACAAATGGGGAGAAGTCCTTGGCTTTGTTTCCAGCTAAGTTTCAGAAGAGCATGTGGATCAAGAAAGGTTTGATTCTTTTTTTCCAGCAGAATCCAACTCACATTTCTGTGATTGAATTGGATCATTCTGCTCTTATAGTGGGATCGTCTTTAAATTTGCCATACCGCATTTGATCACAGAAGAAGTGATTTGCTGTTTAAAAGATTACGTTGTTGATTGGCAGGGAGCTTTGTCATAGTGGACGACAGTGCGAAGGAAAAGGCGATGGAGTCAGGCAGCAAAGTGACCTGCATTGTTTCCCAGGTTCTCTTCCACGAACAACTCCGTACACTGCAGAAATCTCCTCAATGGTTTGTGTTCTTTCTTCCCCAACAAACCTTTGGTACCAAGCTTACATAAGCATATGATTCATCTGCTTTTATTTGTGTTCTCTTATTACTATTTTTTTGTTTTCTCGATTCAGGCCAGAAATTTTCAAGTCTACAACTGTGGACTATACCAATGGTAGAAGCTCTAATGCGGAAGTCCCAAGCCGCGAAGTAGACGAGCTTAATTCCAGTGATGAAGAAGAGTACGACGATCTCCCGCCTTTAGAAGCTAACACGAACAGGATCCAGCCACCATTTTTTGAAGCAGATGCTAAGACAGATACAGATTCTGATTCTGATTCTTGAATTACACTTCCTCGAAATTGTCTTAGTTCCTAATGTAGGTGCTGTTGTGGTTCAAAATCTCGTGTTCTTCTGTCCAAAATTTAATCACAGTTACTGTAGGTTTCATTCATGGTAAGTAAGCTAGTAAATAAGATGAATGAATGAGTTGCCTATCTCATTTCGCCTCAATCTCGTCCACTCTCCTCTCTCTTCTTCCTCACACATTTTTTAGATTCCACTTTTAATTGATTGAAGAAAACTAAACAAAAGGAAACTGAAAATCTGGATAAGCTCCAATTATTTCAAATCCAATTCGAGATAACTTTATTATTCTGGCATGCTTATGCTTAACACATGCAAATCGAACGGAAAGTGATGTTTCCAGTGGCAGACAGAGTGAATAATGCGTAAGAACCTGTCCTTGGAAAGGGAACAACATCTGGAAACGGTTGCTAATACGCATAACAAAGTTTGCAGCACCAAATAAAAATAACTGTGGAAAAAAATGGTTCTCTAAATGAAGCATTTCAATGAAAATTTTGAGATAAAACGTGAGAATTCACAATCCAGAAATTCAGTGGCCTCCTTTTTTTTTACTCCCAGGTCGTATGGATTATATCGAAAAGAGTTTGAATAAAAAAATACACTAATGAAGAGTGACACACCAATAGCATTTTAGCAACCATTCAATGAACAAATAGCCTGACACGTGGCGTTCTTCTCGTCCGTCTTCCTCCCCCGGGTTCTAAATTTGCTGACAGATTTTTTCTTCGTTACCACATTGAGAAATTTGTCAATCTCCTTAGTTCACTGGTTGCAGCTACCAGTACGGTCGGCTGCTTAGCATTTGAATCGAGCGACCAAATTTACAGTCTTCACTTCTCCCGTTCTCCGCCTGCTCTGTCTCTCTCTCTCTCTCTCTCTCTACTAGTCTTCTCCAATCCTTGTCCTGCAGCGCAGCGAGAACACCAAACGCCATGGCGATGATCTCTGTATCTGCCCTGAGAGGAGGTTCTCGTTTCTCTTTCTCCAATCCTTGCCCGATTCCTCGCCTCACTCCTGGGGTAAAAAGCTCGGCACTTTCCTTCAATTTTTCATGTTATCGGATATGGGTTCAGGGGTTTGCTCAAATTTTTCCTTGATGGGATTGCTTGTTGCCTACTTTTGGTCTGTCACAGTCGCCACTTGGTAACAAGAGATTGAGAAACCTTGCAAAGCGCTTCACCCTTTTCGCTCAGTATTCTCAAGCTCAGTCTCAGTCGATCTTCTCCTCACGTCTCCAAGGTATCTTAAATTCTCCTCCCTTGTTAATCTATCAGCTTTTGGTTTGGAATAGATGCTGTCATACAGGAATAGTATTGGAAAAATCAGTATAGAAGATGAATTAGTGCTCCTCGTGTTCAATTTCTGTTTGCATTCAAGACCACAAAAAAGATCAACTTCATGGGAGAATTGAGAATTCAAAACTGTTCTGTGAGAACAAGTGCTGTTGTCTTCCATCTTTTGGCTCTAATTATGCTTCACTTTTCTTATCTGAGCTCTCTGCTTAAGCTTCCTCCATATCTATTCTCAGATAGCCTAGAGAACTTGCCCAAACTGGTGGAGGATATTGTTCAGACATCTCTTAATACAGGCCCGCGTGGACCACTGAGACTTGCTCAAGGTATTCAAGCAGTCATTGGAGTCAGCGGGGAGTGGCTGCAAGATGCATCAAGGGTAGGCACCCAGTGACTCATCTTCAGCTAATTTGGTTGCTTCAGATATATTGTTTATTTGCCAATCTAGAGGAAATAACCTGAACCTAAGATGGATGAAATTGTCACAAACCGTGAAGTTATGTTCGTAAGTTATATGTACCTTAAGTTTCTGTTTCTTTAAGATACTACTTAATGATGTATTGCAATCCCATTTCTGGCATATTTAATTCTACATAGAAATGGTTGTACAACTTTCATGTGCACGATAAAGCTGGAATTTACACTCATTCAGGAAAGCTCTTGGTAAACTTATAATGGTGAACTATCGTTCTGGTTGGGTTAAAAACTCTCACTTACTATTATTCTTGTGATTATTGTGTTACTTTGTGTTAATAATGTGTTTGTTTCCTTCTCCTTGATGTTACACGAAGGCTTAACCATGTGAAAGCAAGCTTATATTAAAGCACAAACAAAGGGCAGAATGGCTTACTTCCTTTCACTGTTTGCAGTCACCAAATTCCTCTAGTGGGCTACCGGTTGACATGCGGCTTGGGATTCTTTCTCCAGTGTATTTGAGGAGATTATTTGAGCGGATGGGAGCAACATATATTAAATTGGGCCAGGTAAATTTTCTCATTAACAAGCTCTTGTTGTGTTCAAGGGCACACAGATTCAATGGCAACAACTCTTGTGAAATAAATTGGAACTGCAAAAAGCAAGAATCATCTATATCCAACCTGACCTATTGTTGAAAATTTCCTAGATAAGTAGCTCAAGTATTCATATCGATTGATATTTGGTAGCCATTGACTTTGGTCCATGGGTCCATGCTTGTTACTAGAAAAACTTCGCACATTGATACTAGACAAATAGCTTCCATTCAGTTTACTTTTCTGTGTGCTGATGCTGTCTTAGTTTGCTCTTTGCTAGTTTGTAGCATCTGCTCCAACATTGTTCCCACCCGAGTATGTTGAAGAATTTCAGAAGTGTTTTGATAGAGCTCCACCTGTTCCCTTTCAAGAAATTCAAGAAATCTTGCGTCAGGAACTCGGAAGACCAATTGAGTCTGTGTACGAGTATGTTGACCCAACCCCACTTGCCTCAGCCTCCATAGCACAGGTACAGATTCCTCTGGCATTTACACCATAAAGTCTTGCATTACATCTCTCTCTACCTCCAAAATGGTTTACCAAAATAAATGTTCATTTATTCAGGTTCATGGTGCGAGACTGAAAGGCTCCCAAGAAGATGTGGTGATAAAGGTCCTGAAACCAGGAATAGCAGATGTTTTAGTGGCAGATCTAAATTTCATATACATTGTCGCCCGCATATTGGAGTTCTTAAGTCCTGAGGTTAGCCGTGCATCACTGGTAAGATTGGATGCTAACTTTAGACCCTTTTCCTTATTATCACTCTTCTCTCATGTTAAAGGAACAGTGTTATCATTTTGATTAATGTCTCCATTTCATACTAGAGTGAGATCTGGAAAATAACTTAAATTGTCTGCCAGCGTGAGATACCTAAAGTAAATAGGGGATTCTCATAATTTCTTAAGCACAGAGTCACCATGCCATAGCTGAAGTTCACTCTAGTAATTTCTTAAGGTGGGAACTTTTTTCTTTACTTGGTGTACTTCTTGGAGGTCCATTTTCAGCCAGACTTACTTTTTGTAGGTTGGAATTGTCCAAGACATAAGAGCATCCATGCTCGAAGAAGTTGACTTTACTAAGGAGGCTGCAAATATTGAATCATTTAGAAGATATTTAATGGCTATGGGACTCACAAGACAGGCTACAGCTCCAAAGGTATATCACCACTGCAGCAGCCGTAGAGTTCTGACAATGGAGAGACTATATGGAGTCCCACTCACTGATCTCAACTCCATAAGCTCATTTGTGTCCGATCCAGAAGCAAGCCTCATTACTGCCCTTAATGTGTGGTAGGTTTTCCAATACAGACAATGCTTAAGGTTCACTTTGCATGTATCTACCAAGTTTAACAAACCTAATCGATTGTAATCAAATTTTGATTGTAGGTTCGGAAGTCTTCTTGCATGTGAAAGTTTCCATGCCGATGTACATGCAGGAAACTTGTGGTTGTTGCGTGATGGTCGGATCGGGTTTCTTGATTTTGGTAAGTTGTACTTCAGAGTTTGCGCAAGATCACTATTTTCTATTCTTACCAGTAGCTATGAGTTTACCGTGGTCGTTCTTTTCCTTGGCCAAGCTGACTAGGTAGCTAATTGGACTATTGTGTTTCGAGGTCCCTTTTGATAGAATAAAGTGATTTCTGTTCTTCAGGAATCGTTGGACGGATATCCCCAAAGACATGGGAAGCAATGGAAGTGTTTCTGGCATCAATTGCAACCGAAGAATATGACTCCATGGCATCTGCACTTATTGAAATGGGTGCTACAAACAAAGATGTTGATACCAAGTCCTTTGCAAGAGACTTGGAAAAGATATTCTCATCTATACAGGTAAGCATTGCTCCTCTTTCTTTAGCTGAATATAATGGCCTAGAGTTCAGGAATTTAGTGGGATTTTGCTCTCATGACGCAGGAATTGGACACAGAACTAGTAGTGGCAACAGCAAGGGATCCTAGTACAAAAGCAACTGCTCTTTCTGCCAATGTAGTCCTTGATGAAAGGCAGATGAATGCACTTTTTCTTGATGTGGTAAGTAGAATGGATATTCAAGATATGGAACTTAAACTGTCCTTATGAACTGGAACTTCTGATGATGTATTTTCCTTCTGTGGGTTTTTGTTACGGGGAACAGGTTCGAGTAAGCGAATCATATGGGCTCAGATTCCCTAGGGAGTTTGCACTTCTCCTGAAACAACTTCTGTATTTTGACCGGTACACACGGTTGCTGGCTCCTAACATGAACATGCTTCAGGATCAGAGGATTTCCATCGTCTCAAACCGCAGAAACCGATAGAGGGAAGACCTCAACTGATATTATCTGTCGAAACCAGCTCGATATTATTGTTCTGTCATGTTTTCCCCCTACCCAGAATACAGGTAACTGGGCTACCTCGAATATGCTGTAGACAAGAATAGGAAAAGTATATATGATTTCCTAGAGAGATCCCCCACTACGTTGCCATGATGATGTATTTAGTATTAATCAATTTGGCAAGAATCAAGATGGGTAGCTGCTGTATAGTACAAACCAATGACAACATTTTTCTCTGCATAAAAAAGAGTGGACACCTATTTATCACATAAAGAAAAAGGTTATGTATGTCAGTGGCCATCCCTATGATACTGGTACAGCTTGTATTTGTTTGCACAGTGGAGAGCTGGAAAGTGGAAAGAGAGATTTGATCATTGGATGACAAAAAGATAAAAGAAGAAAGCTGTAAAGGTTCACAAAGGGACATGGTTATGAAATTGAAACCTACCGTGTTCTGGATTTTGTTGGCTTTTCACAAAGGAGTCTGAAAAGTTGCATCTGAACTGAATGGGAATGTACCTTTCCTTACGATTATACTGTCACATGAACATTTTGCTTTTAGCCAGCTACTCCCCTCTAGCTTTCGGATAAATTGAGGACAAGTATTGTGAACATTAATTCTGCTATCATGCTGACAGAGTAAGGGTGGGCGTATGCTGGGGTTGATGTCGTTCGATCATCGTTCACCGAGTGCTTACCTTCTAGCAGCCTATGATGAAGTAATTTGTCCCCAAATAAGGCAATGGCTCTTAGCATAGAAACATTGCCAGAAATGACAAAACTGAAGTAGTGTTTATACATGTTTGCATTAGAGCAAAACAACCAGTTTCCTCCTTCTTTTATAGTACACCACAAATAAATGCCCTCAAAAGAAACAAAATCAACATGCAGAATCAACTATACCCTGAATGCCTAAATAAATCAATGAAATCAAGTTGGAGTCTTCTCTTCTTCTGAATTTCTATACACACACAGCTCCAACAAAATCGAACTTTCTACCTTCTATACTATTTACTGTTTCACTCTGAGCTGCCGCCCCCAATTCACTTCAGTGAGAAATGAAAAGGACCAAATTGAATGCAGAGAATTCACAGTCCATATTTGAGCTAGGCTCCTGTATCTGGAACCCTTTCTACACCCTTGCGCCAGTGCCAACAAGGACAGCGCTGAGTGTGGAGTACCCCATTAGTCGATGAAGTGGCGACCCTCCTCTCTCCTCTATCTCAATTTCTGTAGATTTCTTCTCCTTCTTCCCCTTGCTATCGGAAGGCCCAACAGCATCATATGCTTCCACCGGATCCTTACCCCGCTTGTCTGAGATTACCCTCTTTCTATGTCCAACGTGTTTAAAGGAACCAGATGATGCATTTGCAGTGGGTGAGTAAGGGACCAAGCGAGTTCTGTCGACAAGTGAAAACTTGAGTATCTCAGAACAGGAACCACATCGCAGCCGATGGCACTTCCTCTTAGAAAGGAGGAAGTCTGCAGGCAGTTGCAGCTGGCTCAAACAACGAGGGCAAGCCAAGAATGGTGCTCCACCGGCTACAGGGAGAAGATGCTTCTTATTGGCCAAGTGATACTTCTTCAAATCATTATCTCTGTTAGGCCTTTGATCACCGAACCCCATGTGTCTTTGAGGAGTAGAGGGACAAGAGGCATACGAGTTGCAAACATTTGCATCAGAGTGAACCCTGCAAAATGCTCTGTTGTGGTTATTGCAATTTGTAGAGCAGAAAGAGTGATCCACTTTGTGCCTGCCGCCATTTTTTGTTGCTTCAGCCGAGAATGGTATTCTCGAATGCTGCTGCCTTTGCTGAGGCTGAGACCAGCTGCTTGCCTCTCTATATGGCCTGGGGACCTGCTGATCCCTCCAAAGACCTCCAGCTGCAACACTTCCACTACTAGCTTTATCGTTCAGGGAGCAAGATCTGGTAAGTCGATCTTCCAACTCATAAACCATTCTCAATAATCTGATCTTCTCCTGCTCAATGTCGACAGGGCTAATTGTCGGGTGGAAGTTTGAGTTCCAATGAAATCCACCCTGCAAATGATAGGGGGAGCTGCCACTTCCATAGCCATTCATGTAACTCCTTGTATGTGGAGGCGGTTGAGGCAAAAGTTCATCCCTTTCTAGATATTGATTCATATCTGGGGAATAATAGTTCTTTTGATGCTGATACTGCTGCATCCCGAAGTTCCTACCGGGAAGGGCATTATGATTTTCTTCCTCCCTTTCTTCAGCAATATTATTATAGTTCCCAGGGTTATAGCTATAAGGATTCCTGTAATGAGGTCTGTATCTACCGCCAGGCATCTGATCATGATCAGTTCCCTCGTAAGAGGAGAAGCCCTCATAATAAGCATGAGTGCTTCTGGTGGTAGGAGATTTGGACAAATCTACAAGCATCTCACTCAGCTCAGAACTCATGTTGTTCATGAAATCATCAGATGCTTCGAATGTGTCTTCTACTACGTACTGACGATTATCTATCCCATGACGCACTCTTTCCTTGAGCCGATTGAGCTGCTGCTTGTCACGAGGTGGCAGACCCGAATGAGTATCTCCAGAGATGCTCTCTCCGAGTGCGGGGCTCCCAGCAGTGACTGTTGTCGAGGTGCTCTCAGTAGTAGTATAACCCATCTTCTCTGTGCTCGATCTTCTGGAGTCCAAAGGGCTCTCACTTTTGACATTCTCTGTAGCAATATAACCTATCTTTTCTGTACTCGATCTTCTCGAGTCCAAAGGACTCTCACTTTTGGCATTCTCTTTGCTCGATCTTCTCGAGTCCAAAGGAGTCGAGTTTAGGACATCTACTTTAGCAATCTCAACACCTCTATCGACGTCATCTTCAGAATCCACTCCACTATCTAGGAGCATTTCTTCCTTCTCAACAAATGCATCACGATCCGAAGACTCTCCATAATCAGCCACATCCACCTTCTCCTTCCTCACAACTTGATCTCCCATGGAAAATTCAGAGTCAACCCCAGGGAGCTGTTGCTGCTGCTGATCACTGCATTCGTTCTCATCAATCTCTTCACTCACAGGCCCATTTGATGCCTTGCTCTCAGACTTCTGATCATCATCATTTGAAGGCTTGATGAAAGTTGAATCCTTTAAGCCAACCGGAGAATCCAGGGAAGTCTCCCCAGACCCAGAACCAGAACAATCTTGAACAACAGGCGGATGAACAGAAATACTGCTGCTGCTGCTGCTTGAAGATGCCGATGTATTCAAGTCAGCAGAAGCAGCAGCTGCTGCCGACGACCCATTATTGGAAGTGGATGGGGAATTTTCACCACTTGGTGGGCGGATTTTGGCTGCGCAGACAAAGGTTCCGTGAGACACTTTCATCTACGATTAATCGAACTCACACTCTAGGAATCATTAGGATTAGGGTTTAATCAAAAACATTACCTTGGAGGTGGGTGCCACAGCCCCCGCACTGGTAAACAGGGACATTGGGTAGCTCAGGGAGAACCTGCCGACATCTCGGGCACCGCACAAGCCGGATCTTCGCAGCTACCGCCGCCGGAGCTCCTTCACTAGAACTTCCTGCTCCATCCCCTAAACCCGCCATTTCCACAAAGTTGCCTTCTTTTTTCCTCTGAGCTGACCTCTGCCCTGCTTCGAGGGTGGGAAAAAGATTGATCCTTTAGCACGATTTTCCCCTTTTCCTCCCTCTCAACTGTCACCACTCACAAGGCTGGAGCGCCTGCAGAAGCCATTAATGAGAAGGGGGTTAGATTGATGAGGACGAAGAAGCAAAAACAAAGCTTAATTAAAAGCGGCAGATCTGAACTGGGCAATAGACAGAGGGGGAAACTGCGGCAGATTCTCGTTGAAGCAGCCCAAGTCATGGTCTCACAACAAACAGTTAGCCGCCTCCATTAATTAAAGAAGAAGGAGGCAAGTGTCATGGGGGGAAATTCTTTCCGTGGGAGCGAAGGTATTAGAAGCGAGAAGGAAGGATGGGAGAAGATAATAGAGAGAAAGTAGTCAAATACGCACTCTGATGCCGCAGCCTGCTTCTGTCGATCACCACCACCACCATTTTCTTCTTCTTCTTCTTTGTGTCAGAGAAGAGAGCAGCGAGAAACAATACTATACTAGTGCTGCTGCTGCTGGAATTCCTGCAAATCTGCGATGTGTTTGTTTGTTGGTTTGTTGGCTAGCGTTTATCAGGGAGCAGAAAAAGAGGAACGGAAATGGAAGAGAAGTGGGTAGTAATCCTTTTCCCAAGTAATTCCCTCGAGTCGAGATTGTGTGTGTGCTGTCTAATAATAAAAAAGATGATTATCTTTTCTTGCTTTTGCTTTTAATGGCGTTTGTTCCACTAAGTCAAGTCAACCCGTCCCCATTGATGAAGGTTCTTTCTTTCTACTTTTGATTATTGCTAAATTTTGAAACTACCAGGTTATTGCGGCAGCGGCTACAAATGAGTCGAATAAGTTGTTCATGAGCGGCTCGACGTTCAACTCGAAAAAAAAATTCATTCAAGAACTCGATTTATTTATTAATGAGTCGAGCTCAATCTGGACTAAACTCGACTCATTTGCAGCCCTTTCTTAAAGCATCATTCAATTCGAGCTAATCGTGAGAATGCAATATTCTGTAAAATTTGAAGCTATGAAGTTGCTCGTTAATTGATGGAGTTTTGTGATTGTTTGTTAAGATTTTTTTTTTTTTTTTGGATTTGAGAATGTATATGTTTGTGATTTTGTATTCAGTATTTATGCACATGATTTCTTTGTAGTGTTATGGAACCAACGAATCAAAAGGAGGATTTTGCCAAAAATAAAAAAGACTAGTGATTTTGGATTTTCCTCCTTTTGATTCGTTAGAGTGTTTAAAACTGAATCACCTCTCTTTTTTATGCCTATATATTTAGTATTATTATTTATTTATCTATTGTTATGAGTAGCAATTAATAGTTTCATTATTGATGCGGGTTTCTTGGGGTGGCGGCAAAGGTTGTTGCTGAAGCCAGGAATCGCTAATTAATTAATTAAGGTCGGATTTACAACAATTAGATCCAGAAATCAATTGTATAGATACATATTACATTATACGTAGCATTATACCTTCACGATTTTTCCTATTATTAGACGTGTCTTGTACCCCACGAATCGTGTTAAACTGGTCGGGAATATTATTACCTTTCCAGAAAACAAAAATCATACATATGCTTAACTGACACCTAATATTAGTAACCTGCCACCTTGAATGAAACGCCACGATATTTTTTTTTTAATTCTATAAGTTTTGAGTAATTCATTTTGAAATGAAATATTTGTGTGTTTGATAATTAAAAAAATTTATTTTCAATTCTAAATTTTGAACTCTATGAAATTAGAACTAGTTGTTGCAATTCCGAGGAATTGAGATGGAATTTGCAAATGAATTCCACGAGTATTTAATAATCATAATAGAATGACATAATTATCCTCATTTGATAACTAAATTACTTCTACATATATTGTTTGGCGCCAATTGTTGCGGTATGAGGAACGTCACCAAGAATTTGATTGCAACGCTAGTAGAATGTGTTGGTTATTTTATATTTATGCTTCGATTATATCAGTACGCTCAGAATGCACAACTAGATTAGTTCATCGACGAAGTATTAGAAAAATAACTAATGAATATATAGAATAGAAGCGCGCACAAGTACACTTTTGATATTGTTCGTATGAGACCAGAGACATTTTTTTAGAAAATGGATTTTCAATGAAATATTGTTTCTTCCGGAAATTAATAACGGTGTCGTTGGACAAACTTTTAAGTTAATTCAATTTTAAACGTATGTCAAACATGGTTTGGAAATTCAATTCATTTATTGTTAAAGATTTAAATATGACATACCAAACACATAAATTCATTACTAAAAAACACATAAATTCATTTAAACAATGAATTATACACCGTAATTCATTATAAAATAAAATGAATTCTGTTGGAGAACTTGAATAGTATTTGATTAGAAGTCAACAATGGAAAATATAGAGATAGACGATTTTGTAGTAGGAGTCCACAAACGCACCACCACCACTAAATTATTCTATTCTGCTGCCACCTGCTCTCTCTCTCTCTCTCTCTCTCTCTCTCTCATCCCATTCTGATCTGTCTCGCAAAGATTAAACACTAATCAATGGATTCTTCTTACTCTTTTGGAAATAGATCGATGTTAATTTTAATTTGATTCGTGCAATTTTATGTTGTCGTATATGAATATTGTTTATCTTGCGAGTAGTGGTAACAAAATACGAATATAATTGATTATATTTGTTCTTAGCTCCTTCCATACATTTCGTTCTTACTAATAGTTACTTATATGTACGATCTATTCTGGTGGAATTATGTTAAAATTAGGAGAGGTGGTTGAAACTAGAATAGTCGGTAAGACTTTTGCTCCTCTACTCCAATTGCAACAGTCAAATCAGCTCTTGCATTCAAATTTTTGGCTCCGCCACCGCTGATCGACATTTTTTACTCACTTTTTGTTATGAAGTAGCTTGCCTCTCCTACAGCTACAATTTAATGTGTATACTGATATTGCAAATAATATGAGTTCCATGCAATGGACCTGCCTCCAAAAGATCATTATCATTTTCCCCCCCCACATTTTCTAAATTTGGACTGTCTCTGTCCATAATTTTCTAGGGTTTTCCGTTGTTGTACGTTTTATGGTTACAATTGAATTGAATGTGTCAACAACGAGAGTATAAATATGTGACACATCATTATTATTATTGTCAACTGCCCTGGCCGGTGGTGGCTGTTACTTAATGATGTAATGATTACTCCATTCAAATTCTTGATCTACTTAAAAAAAACGTTTCGAATAGGGGGGGGGGGGGAAAATAATATAAAAAAGAGCTTCCGATTTTGTTCTAGTTGATGTGATGATCACATTTTCAATGGCGGTCACACTCGCAACAGCCTAGTGGGACTCCATCGATTCAATATGTTCAGTCTTCAATCTTAATTGACAACCATCGAGAAAGCATACATATGATCGTATAGCATACATGGAAGTGTCTTCTAATAGAGGCTATATATGGAATACATGACCTTAATTTGATCTATAATTCGGTTCACGGTGATCGAATGGAATCGATTTATAATTTGATTCGACATAACTTAATCAATCATAGTTTGAAGAGGGTTGCACGATTTGGATTTATTTAGATTCGGTTTGGTTATGAATGAACTGATTGGATGCCTATCCCTACACAACGATACTTCAAACCACATAAAGTGAATGAACTCAAAAACGTAGAGAGTCACGCACTAGTAATTTTTTTTTCCCCCTTTTGTTTTGGAGAGGAGGAGAATGCAGAAAGAAATTTTGACATGAGTTTTGGTGTTGAAAAACAAGTGTAGAAAACATAGGGGATCGATACTATTCATAGAAAGTGAAAGGGTGCATCTGAAAAGATGTCGATGTTGGGTGGAGACTAGACTCGAGCAGTTGCAAGCCAACTAGTCGACAACACTTAGGTTCTCGTTTGTTGGTAGTTGGACCGAGTAGGTACTAGCAAACCATTGCATTGGTTTGGCACTAATTGGTTACAACTTACCGCAATGTCAAGAATTTGTTATGACGGGTTCAATTATGATACCATTTACTAAAATGGCCCATCGAAAGAAAGCCAACTCATTTGCTCTTGAAGTTTGCACAAGTTTGTATACCATGTGCTTAACAAATGGGGGATCGTCGAGATTCGACCACAAGACATCTAGGTCATCGAATGCTTTGATACTATGTTAAGAACCAATTGATCTCAATAACTCGACCTACTGAGTAATACTCAGTTATGAATCTTATATCATTTACAAAACAATAAAAGCCAATCCGACATAGTACCAAAATATCAAATAAATTCTGGTTGATTGGATCCAAAGCCTCGGTCAGCACAAAAAACTTAAATAGTCATCCTACTTTTCACATTTCACCAATACTGTATGAATGAGCTTCATTTTAATTCTCATTCTTTTATTTCTGTTCACACCGTCTAAACTCTAAGATTGAAATATGCACATGTCACACTAACATGTTGTACTATAGTTATTCTTCAACCCAGATATTCCACATAAGAATGTACTCTCCTCGTAAAAGAGTATGCACATGAAAGAATGTACCTTCTCATTGTCATTCATGCTCTCCAAGGTTGTCAACCCGCGGGTTGACCCGGATCCGGTCGAGCTAGTGGGTCAAGGGTTAATGGGTCAACCGTTTTAGCCCGGTTTGGCCCGTAAATATAGAAAGAGTCATTATATCGTACTTATCCTCATAAATTATATCAAATCTTATCTAACATATGAGTTATAACATATAATATTACACCAAAATAACATATCGTACTTAGATCCAACATATAGTGAAAATTCACACACACTTATATAACATAAATATTCAAATGTTCAACTTAGTATTCCAAAGATTGAGTTAGGCGAAAAGAAAAATTGGAAAATAGGCGCATTTCGCAAACTAAAGAAAAAAATGATACAATTTGACCTCCAACCCGATACCTTATAGCGGTCAGCCCAGCGAGTGCGTGCGGCCCGTTTTTCTCACCAGATCAGGGTCAAATTGGGTCGACCCCACGGGTTGACAACCTTGATGCTCTCCTATAATGTTTTGTGGAGAGATGATATAGAAATGCATTAATATTTAATATTTTGGGTAGCAAACTAGCAATCCAAAAGTTATTTATGATGAAAATGAAGTGGTTTGATAGGATAATCTTTCCATATTAGTGTCTCCCTGACGAATATATCCGCCGCCCATGCCCTCCCTTTACCTACTCCCTTCTTCGCCTTCCCCACGCCTTGGCTTCAATTCTCAGATATATTCTTTCTGGTTATGGCACCACTCTGACAACTGCAAACCCTATTATATATTATTCTCACCATTTTTCTTGTTATTAGTTATTCTCATTTCTCAGCTGCGGTTCACTCTCCTGTCCTGTGCTCAAATAAGGAATCATATCCACAAGACAGCGCTATTATGCAGTTTGGCTTTTCAATTACTTTTGAGTTATAACTTGCATAGGAAGAAACAATTAGTAACAATAATTCGAACAACAGAAAAAGAGCGTCTTTTAGATAAATCTTAATGCTTTCCCAACCAAACCTATCTCACAGTACATCCCACTATTGAAAACATAAGCTTCAACGAAAAGCAGCAGCTTCATTTCAGTTCAGTTCACCAGCACACTGCAAAAGCTTCCTTCTTTTCCCCTTTACTAGGCTACAACACGAAGCCTTTTCTGTCCAACAAATGCTTCACGAAGCTCTTTGTAGCCACTCCTGTAGTGCTCCAACGAGAAGCACAGCTGCCTAATTGCCTCCCTTTTCTCCTCAGCACCTGCTAAGAGCTCGCCCTTCTGCCGATCCACTTCCTTCTCCAGCTCCACCACTCTCATTCTCAGCTCCTCTGCCAACTTCCTTCCACTCTCACAGTCAGCAATCAAATCCCCATTCTCAAGGTTCAACCTTTTCAGATGCTCTTCCACTTCCCTTCTCTGTTCATCTTGGCAGCGCAGCTCAGCATTCATGGTGTTCACCTTAGCAATCAACTTATCCTTCTCCACCACGACCATGTCGTATTTGTGCTTAAACGTGTCGAAGTTCTTGTTCAAGCCTTCAAGTTCTTCACCTCGGCTAGCGAGCTCTGCCTTCAATTGACTTATCTCCGCTCCAAACTGAATTGCCTGAGCATCAAACGAAGCTTTCATCTCCATCTTCTCAGCTTCGCATGCTTTGATGCTTGCCTCCATCAGCGTCTGTTGTTCTGACATGGTTGATATGCAAGACTGCAATTCTGACCTTTCAGCATGGAATTTCACCTCCACGCAAAGCATTGCAGCTTTCAGCTCCTTCGCCTCTTCATCTTGGTCCGACAGTTGGTCTCTGTAACTCAAGTTGCTTTCCTTCAATGCTGCTATCTCTTCTCTAGCCAACTCCAGCTGGTGCAGCAGTTCCGACGCACCTTCAGCTATTCTATTCTCCAGTTCCACAACTCTTCTCCTTTCAACTTCAAGGTCGCCTTCTCTAGCTTTGATCTCTCTTTGAGCAGATAGGAGTTGAGACTGCATACTTTCAGCACCCTTTCTCAGTTCATTCTTCAACCAGGAAACCTCTTCCTCTGACTTCTGCAGCCTTAGGTTTGAAAGCTTCAACTCGCCCTCGTACATGGATACTTTCCTGAGCAGTTCTTCATAAGTTGCATTATTTTCACCAGCCACAACGATCTCTACCTTTTCGTCATTCCCTAGCTGATACGACATTCCCTTCCGACCAGTGTTTAACGGGAGACTATAGTAGGCATTGCTAGAGTTGGAAGATTCGGAGTCAGAGTCTGACTGTGACACAGATGATTCAGATCCATCCTTTAAGGAAAGATCAGAACTATTGGCGCCACCACCAGGACTTGCAGATGCAACTTGGTGATGGACCTTGTTTCCACCCAGCTTTGTATCAGGAGTCAGCAAAGGGGAATCAGGGTCATAAATTGTATAGACTTCGTCCGCTTCAGATATGGAATCAGGCATGGTTTGCTGAAGATCCATAGCTTCCTTCTCAGGGTAGACAACATCTTCTGCAGTCAGGACGTTTGGAAAATTCTGATCCATCCCTGTCAAAGAATCATACATCGTTAGCTTAAGCCGTGAATCATAGAATGAAATGAAATATAGTTAGCATGAGAATTGGAAATTCAGAAATTCAATTGGGAAAGAAGCAGAAATATTACAAAGTGTCACCAGATCGATGGCAGCCTTATCATACAGAGAGCAAGTGAAGAAAGCATAAAAAAAGGAACAGATCTAGTACGGCTCAATTGCACAAACAAATCCTTTTTTCTTACTTTCACCAGCTAAGAAACATTTCGTATCCATTTACACCTCTTCAAATCAACAAGACATAGATCATAGGTCCAAATTGTTTGCTAGTTACCCCGTCCAGATCAACAAATACATTTATTTCCAAAGGATCACGCAACCAACTGTGGCATACTGGCCATAAGCCTGTTAAGTTCATTCATCAAGCAAACAATTCATGGTGAAGCTTCTGCACATCAATACTACTAATCAACAGTGTTTCTCCCTACACCAATTCAACCAAGCAGATCATTCATCTAGAGGCTCGAACCAAAAGAAAAAAAAAAGGCACTCCCTTGAGTACCCAATTCACATCTACCACGTACAAGACTGCTGTAGGATTTACATCAAGTTCAATCGGGAAAAGTTATAAACTTTCCAAGCAGCAGTGAAGTTAAAGACAGCGACTGTACAACCCAAGTATAACTTGTAAACCCATGTAAAAGAGAAAAAAGAAGGCTCCAACATGTTGACTGATTCACTGATAACGGAAGCAAACCAGAGCAATCGCCCAGAGGGAGGAACCCATTAAAGGGAAAATGAAAGCACACGGATTCACTGACCTTGTTGATCTGAAGCAACCAGATACTGCAATTCCGGCGGAGAACAAGAAGAAGGTTAGAAGAACACAGAGGGGAAATAAAAGGAAGTGGTCGAAGACGAGAGAAAGAAGGTGAATGAAGGAATGGGTCGGCGGCTTGATTAAATTTAGAGGAACAGGTGAACGATCAACTCAGATTAAAAGGAGAATTGGGGATGGAGAGAGAGAGAGGGAAAGTAGTATTACTTATTAGGGTTTGAGTGGGAATTGGAAAGTGCCAAGGAGAAAAGGTTTTGAATTTCGAGCCTGGCCGAATTGGGTGGGAGGAAAAAGAGAGAAGAAGGGAAATGGGGGGGAACTCGAAGCGGAGAAAAGTTTGAATCGCTAACTGCCATGGCCAGATTTCCCGGCATTCCCCCAAATCCCAACCCCACCCCTTCTTGTCTTCTTATCTCTGTCCAGTTCATTCTCACTTCACCTCGACGCCATCCGCCATGGTTTTGATTGGCAAGTTTGGCGCCTTTCTTTTGATTTTCCCTATTTGTTATTTCTCTTCGTTTACCAAAATGGCCTTGGATAATTCATTTCTCCTACCTAACCACTCTTATGATAGTTTTGGTTCAATGTTTCGTCCATAATCAACTAGGTTTGAACGCGATCATGGGTTAAAAGAATTTTGTGATCACATTTTATATTTACTAACTTCCTATCTAGGGTATATTTTTTTTGTCTTGAGATGCATATAAAGATGATTACTCGAGACACCACTCACTCACATTTGCATTGCTTCATAATGAGAATGTTTTAACTTCATAGTTCTTACAATAATTCTTCAATTTAACACCAAAACGTGTTTTGACGGGTTAATGCCAATTTCTTATTTATAAATCATGAATCTATGTGATACTTTATCGATGCAGGATTTGTCTAAAGTATTTATATTCACGTTGCCCAAGCACAATACGAAAGGAAAACAAGGTCTACCAGGCCAATACTCCTAGTCTGGACTTGAGGAAACATGGGCTAACTGATGAGCAACAGAATCCGTAGAGCAGAGGGCGAAAGCCCACGAGAGAACTCGACTCGTCAGGCTAGATAAAGGGGTTGCCCACGAGAGAATTCTTCCCCGCTTCAGTGGGGAGGTGTTGTTAATTGGGCTTTTGCCAGCAGTCAACTAATCAGGTGGCCCACTGTTTGGCCCATGACAATGTGGGTTGGGAGAATGTTTTGGGATATCTGACCCTTGTGGTCTTGTAACATATTTTCTCACTTATTCAAAATATTAAGATATATAATTTACATACGGTTTGGTATAAATAAATAGGGGTGTTCAAATGGATTGGTTATCATGGTAATCATATTAACCGGAAGCATTCGGTTAATTTGGTTTGTTTAATTTGGATAATTGGTCTGGTTTGGTTAAACAATTTAGCTTATTTGGTTTAGGTGGTTTGGTTTGGTTTCAACACTGCTAACCAATAAAACTAATTAAACAATTAATGATACACCTAATATACAAAATTATTTATACTTTCATGTAGCCAACCAAACCAAACTTTCGTGATTCCCCATTTTATTTTCATGTGCACAACAAACCAAAGCATTATGAGTCAAAAATTAAATGGGTCTGCCTATTTACTAAACCAAAACATTTTGGACAATTACTAGACTTTAGAAGTACGTACAATACCATAGACATTAGCGGATTGGTTCATTAATAGCCCTGACCACACCTAACCTTTACTTAAGTCGATGATTGTAAGCTGGCAAACAGGAAAGAAATAAAACGCGAACGAAACCGTGACTGAGTGGTCATACCGCTTGTTTTCAGTTTGGAGTCCCCAAATTCGAATCTCATGAACGACACTCGTTTCTCCCTTCCCCACTCCTCTCCTCTAGTAGCACCCTGTAACATATATTTGTGTAAAAAAATGTACATAAATCACTAATCCACCACCCAAAACACAGGCCCAAGCAAAACCAAACAAAAGGAGAAAAAGAGCAGAGGAACAAAAGCTCCGATACCACTTCCACCGCTAAACGTCAAAAGATTCAGGCCACATCCCTGCTGCTGTTGCTGGCCGGCAGACTGGTTTCTGTTGACCGCTTTCCTCTCTCTATATAGCATCGGAGAAATCGGCGTGGCCGGGGTGGAACTTGATTTGAATCTACAAAAATGGAATCCGAATTAGGAACATCGTCATCATCAGCCCGGTCAGGCATTTCACCGAACACTTGCTCGGCACCGCCACCGACGCATCATTTCGTGCTGGTCCACGGGGTCGGGCACGGGAGCTGGTGCTGGTACAAAATCCGGACCCTGCTGGAGTCCTCGGGACACTGCAGGGTGTCGTGCGTCGACCTCGCCAGCGCCGGCGTCGACCGGACCGACGCCAACACGCTGGAGTCGTTCCAGGAGTACAACAAGCCGCTGCTCGACCTGATGGCGTCGTTGCCGGAGAACGAGCAGGTGAGAGATATTGATCAATACTATATTATTTATGCGCATCGATTGCTTGAGTTCAATTCATCAGCGACCGGGACTGTTGCCGGGGCGGGGAAATCAGTGCGCTGATGATGAGTTCGATGAAGAAATTGTTTGAATTTGGTTGGTAATTGGGGGAATCGGATTATAATAATGAAAATGGATGAAAGTTGCAGGTGGTGGTGGTGGGGCACAGCGCCGGAGGGCTGAGCGTGACGGAGGCGAGCCACAAGTTCCCAAGCAAGATTCGAGTGGCCGTCTACCTGGCCGCCACCATGCTCAAGCTCGGCTTCTGCACCGACCGCGACGTCCTCGATGTACGTTATTCTTGTCTCCATCTCTGCCAAACCTCCCACCTCTTTTTTTTCCCTCTCCTCTGACCTATCTCATATTTTTTTTTAACCTAATCGGTTTGAAATAATTAGCGGTCTTATATAACATATGTTTAACAATCATAAGTAGTGTGAAAAAATTGTATTGGTTTAGGTTAATATAGTCTTTAAAATGTGAGATGATATGATATCACAAATACGACTAAAGTCACATATTCGGTATAAGTAACGTACGTAGGTGAATTGTAAATTTTGTTCAGTTATTCTTTATTCATGTTTGGAGGATGTGAATTTTACGACTATTTGAAACTATGTATACAAAAATCCGACAACAATCATTAGAAAATCACGATAAAACCATATCTATTAAATACCAACACACGATTTAACTAATATGACTAAATTCAACAAATATTTTTAGATAATGTTGTTCAATGATATGTTTGTCAATATTTTCTTATTTATCATAAAAAAAAACTTTAAATTCGAAGTCATACAGACAAAAACACATTGCTGACTATACTAGCTCCTTGGAATCATTGATGATCACTATAGAACTTTTGTTTGGTATTTGTTTTGGTTTCTTGCCAGCTAGTTGTGGACTGTATGCGTTTTTATATATCCAGAATTGGTTTGTCTTCCCACTTATTATACACATCCCAACAAAACTAGGCACTCCAAAACGAAAAGGGTTGGAGTAGTCATTTGTTTGGTAGCTACCCATAGGCGGAGCCAGGGCCTATGGGATGTGTCCCGGGACACAGGTAATTTTTAGGTAAAATAAAATACTTCATATATATATATATATATATATATCAATCAAGAATTGGACTCATCACATTTAGGTGACATAAAAGTGTTTCATTGCTATACTACATGTTATTTCAAGTTTAAAAGCTAAAATAAATCAATTTATCACATTATAAATAAAATTCACAATACCTAAAAATGGATCTCTCTGTCTTATGAAATTAGTTTTGACTCTACCTGTTGCAACTGCAAGTGTAGATAGAACATTTTAAGCTTTGAGCAATATTAGAAACACAAGTTACAAGTTTCAAAGTCGAACTGCGACCAATTTGCTAATGATTGCTTAGTTGGATACATTGAGAATGTGAAAATGCGTTGTGATTGCTTATGAAAATCATGATTATATTAATCTAAAATTTATTTATTATCTAAAAATGAATTATTTAAATATTATTAGTTTTAATTATATTTATTAAATAATTATATATTTATATTATGGAAAGAGGACACAGGTATTTTCGAGTTCTGGCTCCGCCACTGTAGCTACCTACCGCATAACGAATCGTAAATGTTATCATTCTCAATTGGCCTATTCACTTCCTGGTCACTGAAACTTACTCAACATCCAATCTAGTCTGTGTTTTTTTTTTATTGGGAGAGGATTGCCCTCCAAAGTTGCAGAGGCTGATTAGTTGTTTGCCTATACTTCTCCTTGCACTAATTGATGCACGACTTCCACAATGTTTTCACAGGCAGTTCCAGACCTTTCAAGATACGGCGAAAATGTGAACGAGCTCGAGTTCGCGAAAGGACCCAACAACCCTCCCACATCGACCAAGGTGGCCACCCACTTGCTCCGCGAAATCCTGTACAACACCAGCCCGCCGGAGGACTGCACCTTAGCCGCCATGCTCCTGAAGCCGGGGCCCCTCATCGCCCTCCAATCCGCTCGGTTCGACGATGATTATGCTGATGATTTGGCGGCAGCAGAAGGGGTGGAGCGGGTTTACATCAAGACGATGCAGGACAATGTGGTGAAGCCGGAGCAGCAGGATGCCATGATCAATCGATGGCCGCCTTCTCGGGTTTATGCTTTGGATTGCGACCACAGCCCTTTCTTCTCTTCACCATTCCTGCTCACCGGTCTCCTCCTCAACATTGCTGCCGCGGCTCCTGCTGCAGCTAGGGCTACTTAGCTGAGAGCTTCTTCCATGGCGTGTCAGAGGGAATACAGGGTTTCCAGTATTGCATTGTTAATTGCTCTTGGCACAGTTTTACAGTACGTACAGTGCAGCCTGTTCTGTGCATTGGTTGTTCAAAAACAGAGGGTTTTAAAGCTTTGCAGTTCAATTAACAAATACTTGGGAAAAAATTGGAGATGCAGGGGATCGAACCCTGTACCTCCCGCATGCAAAGCGGGCGCTCTACCATTTGAGCTACATCCCCATTGATGATTAATTTTGTTATGGAACTAATATATCTTGTCAACTTAAATGTGGTGTTTCAGATTTTCTAGACAAGGTTATAATATTTGAAGTGATGCTTACCTATGATTTTAGGACAAGATCTTACATGTTGCGTGTCTACTTGCATGGCTCAGGTTTTCTCGAATTCCTCTACTCCAAGAACACCAACCAAACCAATTACATGAGCTTGGTATAGTTTTTCAAAGGCTAATGGCTTACATGATCAAATTTGTGTCTTATGTTGAACAATGAATATGACCTTTTAAGTGAAGATATGCAAGAAAAATATTTTCTAACACAAGAATGAAAAGATCACTTCCATTAAAATTAGAAACCACTCTAACCTTTAGAAATATATTCACAAAGCAATATTGCTAATGAGAAAAGCCACATATTAGAGTGTTAAGACACAAGAATCTATGGAGTTCTCGAATCATCCCCGACTAGAATGTGAAACCATTTTAAAAACCACATATTTGTTTTAGCACCACTGAAAGCGAAAGAGATTCCTTAGTGGCTAGATGGGTTATTATCGATGGTGAATGAGATTGGGCTAGACTTAGGAAGTACCTTCCTCGTGATATTATGTCTTGTAGTGCAGAAATGGACACTCCTTAGAATGGACTTGAGGAAGACAAAAAAAAAAAAAAAACTGGGGACTTGAGAAAGATGACAGATTCAGGTCGAGATCTGCTTACCAAATGGCATAAGACGAGCTGGATGAGGAACTAGAGGAAATATGGAAAGACTTATGGAAGTGTAAAAGAGAAATGGACACTCCTTAAACGAGGTCGATTGAGCATACCAAATGAAAATTGTATTTTCCAAAAGCTGAAAGTTGTAGAGAAAACACTACGTACCTAGAGAGGAAGATATATTGACTACATAAAACATATATTCTACAATCAAAGAACTCCGACAATATGAGCATTTTAATGGAGATATAGTGAAAATCATCCTTCTTTTGAGCCCTATCAATAGATGTCCTTGGTTTCCAAAATTTCAAAAGCATGGAAAAGAAAATAAATCTACACTTTGCATGCAAAAGTATTACTACAAAATTACACTCCATGTATGCTCAACCATACTATTTCCATAAACATATACATCTCTCTTCCTCTTCGAATCCTTTTTTTTTTTATCATACCTGTTTTACATTTTGTTTTGCTGATGAGAGAGCACTAAAAAAAAAATAAGGGTAAATCTCTATTCAAAACAATCACTTGCACTTGTTCCTGGGAATACTATGAAGGTAGACTATCAATGTTAGCAATCTTCATTTTGAGCTCTTGCTTGTCTGCACCAACAAGTTTGTCCACTTGTTTCCCTTCTTTCAAGAAAAAAAATGTGGGTGTGGCCTTGACTTCCCATGTCGAACTCATTTCCTGCGGCGATCACAAGTAACATGAGATTCATTCTTCAAACAATTTTCAGCAGTGTTATGGGGGAAGTGGTGTTTGATTTGTACCGCAAGTGCATCTACGTCGACAGTAAGAAATGTGATAGAAGGGTATTTGTCAGCAAGCTTGCAGTAGGGTTGAGCTATTCTCCTACAGGGACTACTCCAGGAAGAGCTAAAATTGAGGATGACAATCTTGCCGGGTTTCTTGGTCTCGAGGAGCTTGGCATCCCAATTCTGGATCGTGTTGATGAGTTGAACCCTTCCCGTGGCTAGCTCTATGTGATGATTCTTGTCGTCGGCGTTATTCTCATCATGATTATCTTCGTTATTCACATCGTTACAACACCTAAAATTGCAACAACTACGAAATATCTGCACCCAACCCCACATTGACATCACTAAATCTTAAAAAGAACAGGAGGATGTTAAATGCAATATTTTGAAATCTAAAAGTGTAAAGAATTACCTTTGGCCAACAACATCTTCGTGTCATAGCTTTGATCAATTGGAAAATGTTAGTGTATCTCTACAATTTGCCCCCGAAAATATTTGTTTCCTATGGATGAAAGGAAAAGTAAGTCATTTAGATTATCTACAAATTAGAAATTTGACTTATGTATGTCTTACTATCCGAATAAAGAAACAAGCCAATAGAATTAAGAAAATCTCACTCAACACTTTTTGACGATCATTTTGTTGCTTTTTTCCACTAATCCTTTGGCCTTGTAATAAAAGAAAAAGCCAAAACGGTTCAAAATTTTTCAATGCGATCACATTCTAGATAACCCCCCTATGAAACATGTTTGAAGGTGTTCCAAATTTTCAATCGATATAAGTGAATCAATGACGATGAACATCGAATCAACACACTCAAAAGAACCTTTGATCATGATCTGCATTTTGGAGAGAAGAGACCAAAAGAACAAGATTGCAAAGAAGAAGAAATGTTAATTAATTAATGTACCTTTGAAAAAATCCTGGAAGAATGGGATGCAAATCGTTGCGTTTTGAGCATCCCAGGATTTCTTCAGGAGCAAAACTTACATCGTCGAATTTGAAGCCATATTTTTTTTACCCCGACTAAGGCAGCAAGGGGTAAAAAGAAAGGTTCCTGTTTTACAAATCTTCTTTCCCTTTTGGAAGGGGTTGTTAAGGATAAATATTTTCTTCCTTCTACTGAAGTTAGGAATAAGAAAATAAATAAATAAATATTCATGTTATCACAAAAAAAGATTTCTCAACTTCGATTGGTTTAAAATGAAGGATACGATATGTTATCAATAAATAAAAATTATCGCCCCCTTGATCAATCACCTAGGTGTATTGTGTGATGTATTAGTTCAATACTTACCAGCTAGAGCTAGAGCTGTATTTGTAAAAATATCATACAATTGGATTGGAAGTTATACTAGAAAAGTGAAAAATAATGTGTGAAACTCAATTTTATAGTATGAGCTTTTAGTACTTTCTAATCACACGTATTTGCATTCAAATATGTAAAAATTTCAACGAGAAAAAGTGTATTTCTTTCACTGCATGCTATTATGAAATTTTAAGGATGACATGTGTACACCCAATCAAATAAACGATAACATATGACAATACACGCATAACAACTGTCAATAGATTGGACAGCTTGCAGGTACTAGTCCTTATTTTTCGTCGAGAAACCACTTAAATTGTGTGTATCGCTTGCTTCGTTTTGATTTGATTTAGCCTCGTTTATCAAATTGTTCATTATTAATTCTTTGAATTTATCAAATCTTAATAGGGATGGCAATGAGGCAGGTTTGGGGCGAGTTTGTCTAAATCATTCTCATTCCCATTTATAAATATCCAAACTCGTACTCGCCCCATACCCCTGCGGCGAAGTTTTTACAAACTCTTCCCCGTACCCGTGGGTAATACCCGCCCCGTACATCCAACATTATTATACGTAAGACTTTACTTATAAATTTTCAATTATAACACTTATAAATCTACTAAAGTCAACAATAATACCATCCTTTTAACACAAATCAAATTATGTGATCTTAAAATATCTATTAATCCTAGAATAAAATATACCAACAATTTCTTAATAGACAATGAAAGTTTGATGTATCTCAACAATTTCTTCAAAAAAATTGGGCTGTAACCTTCACCCAAACACATTTGAGCTGTAAAGCCCAGCAAGTGTCGAGGCTCTTTGTTGACGTGATTTGGGCCTTAAACACGATTCCACGAAGCCCTATCTAGAACTGAATGGAAAGTCCATTTATCCACCTCTGTAATCTCGCGAAAGAAATTACGGGCTCGTTTGCTTGAGGGTTTTGGTGATGGATTTGGTCATGGAAATAGATCCTTCATGGACTTGAACCGAAATCCATCGTTTGCGTTAGGGAATTAGGAAGATGGAATTTGTGGACCCCACCTCTTTTGGGGTTCCAAATCCGTGGACCCCACGGACTTGGAAGTTCCACCTCTTGAGGTGGGATTTGGGTGATGGATTAAAATCCATGATGGTAAATTACCTTTCTACCCTTAATTATTTCTTTAATTAAAAAAGTGTCCTACTTTAATTCAATGATCATGCAACTATAAACTTTTATAATTTCGTATTTTATAAATATGTGAATTTATCATTTTGTTTTGTAATATCCTATTTTATTTAGATTCACCTAGAAACACTTTATGCTCATCTTGTGCATTATTATTTGATTGACTGTCGGATTCCACATCGGTGAGTTAGCAAGAAGATGATGAGTTGTAGCAATAAAGCGAGCAATTGGTTGCAATTGATACATAATAATGCGTACATTATTAGATGAATTGTTAATTAGTGCCAAATTGTAATACATTTCTTATATTTGTAGTTGAATTATTAATCCACAAGTTTAAAATTTCTTTCTATGTTTTAGATTAGTTTTAAATGAAATATTTAGATTATAATATAGAAATATAATTAAATAAGGATAACAAGGTAATTTGTATTTAATATCCACAAATCTAATCAAACAAAGTCCATAATCAAATCCATCAAGCAAACAATAGACTTGTTCAAATCCATAATGCCCCCAAATCCATCATATATCCATGGTTTTCCAAAACCCAGGTTTTATCAAAACTCTCATTTTTCAAATCCATGAAGCAAACGACCCGTACATCTTTCTGGTAATCCATAATGAACAGAGGAAAATCGGGAATTTTCCACCTCTCCAAACATACATTGATCATACAATCAAAATCATACATTTCCTTCCTTCAACGATCACTCATTCGACGGCGTCGGCACATTCGACGGCGGCGTCGTCTCAACCTCGGAAGACGACCTCCTATTGTTGCTGCCATCGTTGGTGTTCTCGCTCTCGCTCTTCCTCTCACCGGCGGCGGAATTGGGTCTCACAGTCTCCTCAATCAACCTCACCACTTCATCCATGGTGGGCCGCATCTCGGGACCCTTCGCCACGCAAGCCAGAGCGATCTGCAGCATCTGCACCATATCTTCCTCCACGCTCCGGCTGCTCACCAGCTCCGCATCGAAAACCTCCGCCGTCCACTCCTCCCTCACCACCGACCTCACCCACCGCGGCAGATCCACCACCTCGTCGTAAGCACCGCCGCCGCCGGGGGGACCTCTCATCGGCGCTTTCCCCGTCAGGGCTTCCAGCAGCAGGACGCCGAAGCTGTACACGTCGGATTTCTGGCTGGGTTTCCGGGTCTCGATCACCTCCGGAGCTCTGTACCCCATGGTTCGGGACATTGTGGCCGGGAAGTTCATCAGCGGAGCCAGACCCACGTCGGAGATGCAGGCGTCGAGGTCGGCGGTGAGGAGGACGTTGGAGGCTTTGATGTTTCCGTGGACGGATTTGGTACCACCGGCGGTGGAGGTTGAGGTTGCGGTCGTGCCGTCGAATTGGGAGTGAATGTGGGCGATTCCTCTCGCCGCTCCGATGATTATCTTCATTCTTGGTTCCCAACCTAACGGCGTTCTGCTTCCTTCTCCGCCTCCTCTGTTTCCTGTCCCCAATTTAATGTTCTAGAATCAGTATGACTGAACTGAACCCTAATTTCGATTCGGTAAAGGCAGAGCAAAACCCTAATTTTGTCAATTGAACCCTAATTCGATTCTGTAGCTACTTACCGTGCAAGAGGGAGGAGAAGCTGCCGGCGGGGAAGTAGCTGTAGACCAAGAGCTTCTCGTCTTTGGAGTAATAGTAAGCTTTCAGGGGAACGACATTAGGGTGGGAGCCTTCAGCTTTCCCAATGGCTTCCATCTGCGACTCAAACTCCTTCTTCCCGACCACCACGACTTCCCTCAGCCGCTTCACCACCACGCACCGGCCGTCCTCCAGCGCCGCCTTGTACGTCGTCCCGAAGCTGCCTTTCCCGAGAACTTCCGCCGACGCCCTCAGCAGATCCTCCAGGTCAAAAGTATGCCCACTTGCTTCGAAGAAGAAGAGCTTGTTCTTCTCCGCCCCTTGCACTCCGCTCCCAAACGACTTCGTTTTGTCGTGGTTATTCGCTCCTTCGCCTTTCCCTTTCCTTTTTCCTCCGACGCCGCCACGGCGGCGGCGGAGGCAGAGGAACACTGCCGCCAGAACCGCCATCAAAAGAATCGCCGCCCCTGCAATTGACACGGCGACGATGAAATTCCTGCTCAGCTTCCTCTTCCCGGTGGAATTGGACGACGGGAGCTGATACGAAGGGGGAGGTGGAAGAGGCAGAGAGGAATCTGCCGTCGAGCAGCGCTTGAGCGGCTGCCCGCAGAGCAAGGCGTTGCCGAAGTAGGAGCGGAAAGGGAATCGCTGGAGCGAAGGAGGGATCTCGCCATTGAAATAGTTGAAGCTGAGGTTCAGGAGCTTGAGATTTTCCAAGGGTTCGAGATTCAGCAAGCCTCCGGAGAAGGAGTTGTTCTGGAGGTACAGAGCGGTGAGGCGGGTCAGGTTCCGAACCGACCCCGGGATTTGACCGGAGAAGGAATTGAAGGAAAGGTCGAGTGCGGTCAACTTGGGGGAGATTTCTCCGCCGGGGAATTCGCCGGAGAAGTTGTTGTGTTGCAGGTAGAGGTACATGAGCGACGGAATCGAAGCGATATCAGGTGGGATGCTGCCGAAGAGGCCATTGGACCTCAAGCTGAGCACCTTGAGGGAATCGAGCTTTCCGAGTGTGTCCGGCGGGAGGTTTCCGAACAGCCCGACCCCCGGGAGGCGAACGGCGACGACGCGGGTATTGTTCGGGTTGCAGGAGACGCCGACCCATGTGGAGCAAACGGGTCGGGAGGCGTTCCAGTTGAGCTTCCTGATGTGGGGAACAGAGGAGGCGAACTCCAAGAGGGCTTCCCTGTCAGAGTTGAGGTCAGTAGCTTGAGTTGAGTGGCGGGAAGAGAAGCTCAGAAGGAAGAGCAGCAGCAGAAGAAGAAAGAAGCTCATGATTGAGGTTCTGGGGATTTGGTTTGTTTCCTTTTTTAATGGGTATAGTTAATTATATGGAGATGGAGCTTCGCCATTCACCAATGGAGGAATTATTGGAGTGTCAGAGAGCTCAGAAACAGGGGAAATGCAATGGTGGAGGGAATATAAAAAGGTGACTCCTTTATTCATCTTTGGTTCTTTTTTCTCCTGTGTTGGGTGTAAAAAAGATCGGGAAAGCAGAGCAGGGAGCAAAAGAGCAAAGTAGAGTGAGGATCTCACTCAGTTGCTGGCAGCTGAGCAGAGTGGAACGGTAAGAAAAGCAGGGGAGGTTGAAAGAAAGAATCCAAGGGAGAAAAAAGCAGGGGAAAAAGAAAGGGAGAAAAGCAGGGGAGGGAGAGCGGGGCAAAAAAGAAAGTTGGTATTGTTGCAGCTTTATTTTCTTGGTAAAGTGAAGCATTTCATTTTGGAGGAGATAAAGAAAGGAAAAGGTCTGGCCTTTTCTTAATAGGCCAAGCTACCCCAATTATGGAGAACTAAAGGAAAGGGAATAATAAGGCAGAGTGGGTTTGTAAATTGCAAGTTTATAGGCATTTCATGTCTAGTTGCTGTATTTGAAATTGTTAGATTTGAGGATGTTTGTTGAAAAATAGGAAGGAATGTGTTGATGGCACCAATGATTGAAGGTATAGGTGGTGCCGGAGTTAATTCAATGCTTTAGACAAATTCATATCGATAAAGTATGAGAGATATCTATGATTCGTAAGGTCCGATCCATCTTTAACTAATAATACGTAATTTGGAGCGAAACAGAGAAGTTGAACATGCTCATTGCGTCAGTATAGAGTAGTGTAAGGACGAGTGATGTCTTATGAAGTCACTGTGATATGTTGTCAATACCAAAACTATGCAAGGTAGGTCATGCAGAAGACCATGTCAAATGGTGTAAAAGTGTTGCCAAAGAGCATAGGAAAACTTAGATGAGTTGTGCTTTGCTGGTTTCATTCTGTTGGAGGAGGAACTTTTGAGGCTTCTTTAGAATTAGTGACATGATAGAATCAAAAAAGAAATGACAATGACTCGGTCTATTGGGCAATTTGATGCGATTGTCATGATTTATATGAGTATTTGATAAGATCCGAATGGACCTATATAAATTCTCAATTATTTTGGATTTGAATCGGATTGGGTTTGGGTAAAACTCACTTGGATCGAATCTATATGGGTCTATTACATTCAGATGATGTACACAAAACGGAAATACCAATCATCTTAACAATTTCCTTCAACCCAACTCACAACTTGAATGTTGGTGTTTTTTTTCTTCCTCAAAACAAAGAAATGACATAAACAACGGTAGAATCATGTCTCATTTTCCTTTTGATCGCCCAATAAAAAGAGTCTAATTTAAACAGAAACTAAAAAAATTAGATATGAGTCTGTCACAAAAAATGATATTACCTAAACCTTATCTCGTCCATAACAAATTAAATTTGAACCAGAACCAGATATTAGATCATCCACAAAAATATCCAAAACATAATCCACAATTGTAGAATCATGTCTCATTTTCCTTTTGATCGCCCAATAACAAGAGTCTAATTTAAACAAAAACTAAAAAAATTAGATATGAGTCTGTCGCAAAAAGTAATATTACCTAAACCTTATCTCGTCCATAACAAATTAAATTTGAACCAGAATCAGATATTAGATCCTTTTGTCATTCCTAGAATTAAGAAAGCTTTGATCGAATTTAGGAATGGGTAGAGAAAGAACAAATGGAGATTTGAGGAAGTGAGGCTGTCGGCTAGAAGAAGACAAGGGAGTGAACAATTTTGACCATTAGAGGGAGGGAAATATTAGTTTAACAAAATTATTCTATAGTTGCTTAATGATTCATTTTTTCTAAAACTCAGACAATAAAAACGACAATTCTCTTAAACTATCCAATTAGGCTCAGCCACTCAAACCACTGATTATAATTTCCTAAACAAAACACCAATTAACCACAAAATTCGTACATAATCCACAAAAATATTCAAAACGTTAACAAAACATCCCACAGAAATAAGTAGATATAATAATGTGGTGTAGGAAGGTCGAGCCCTCATTATATTTCTTTTAGCATACACAATATGAATTGTTTTTTGATATGATAAAAACTATCACTTAAAATGAGTGATTATTATATTTAAGCTTTTAGGTGAGAATTTTGAGATAGTTGAGTTGAGATTGTTTTATCTAACTTGTTAAGTTAATGTGACATACATAGTTACGCATACCAAACGTTGTATTTTACAATGCATCAAATTCATCAATACATGTATTCACAACAATGCATCTATTTAACAATCGCAACTTTCAAAAGACAGCTAACCGAACAAAATCGAGTTCTTGCCCCCCTTAGTTAACCTAAGCAAAATCACTCATCACCCTCGATTTGGTCGAACATGGAACGAAGCTGCAAAATCATCTCGAACAGAAGTAAGCCTTTTAGCTACCTCTGCCATTTTCGTACGTTCTCTCGGCAGCTCACTACTGCAACTCAAAGCGATTTCAAGGACCGAAACCAAACAGTTCGTCGCACTTTCCATCAAGGCCATCTCCTCAACTTCGACGCCATTTCCATCGGCAGCTTCTGCCGGCCAACTTCCTATCACTCTCTCGCCTCTGCTTATTACTACTGGGATGGGCATCAAAGGATCCAATACTGCTAAAATTCTACCTGGAATCGCTGCCTTTACAAAGTCACAAAGATTCACGCCTTCTTTGAACATCTCATCAGTGGGTCTTCTCCCAGTGAACATCTCTAGCAGAAGTATCCCAAAACTGTACACATCTCCTTCTTTCCACACCGCCTTTCCCATTCCGTACTCTGCATTCCCAAAATCAAACATGCAAAGTCATCATTTGATGCAATGAAAGAATGGTGTAAAATGTGACTAATACAAATCATTTGGAATCTTTGTCACCTGGAGGTGCATAACCAATTGTTCCTTTGATTCCAATCGTGCTACTTTTGATTTTCGAGTTACTATCGCTAGACAGTATCCTCGCCAGACCGAAATCACCCACACGAGCGGCCATGTTGGAATCGAGGAGTACATTGCTGGGCTTCAAATCGCAATGGACGATCGAGGTCTCGCAGAGATCGTGAAGGTAGTATAGTCCGGATGCCACATCTACCGCGATATCGAGCCTCTGCATCAAGCTCAGGTTGCGATCGGTGGTGTGAAGCCACTCTTCTAGGGTCCCATTGGGCATGAATTCAAAAACCAGAGCCTTGAATTCGTCTCCCTTGTAATCCAAGCTAGAGCAGTAGGTTAGGATCCTGACCAGATTCCTGTGCCGGACATTTTTCAGGGCATTGCACTCTGCCGAAAAGCTCTTGTGAGCTTTCCTGTCCTGAAGATTGTTGAGTACTTTAACAGCTACCGGAGTCTTGATTTGTTCCAATGTTCCTTTGTAGATGGTGCCAAAGCCACCAGATCCGATCAAGTTGCCTGAGGAGAACCCATTGGTTCCTTGATGGAGATCTTTGTAAGAAACCATTACAAAGTGGTTCAAAGCGGAATCTCCATCAAAAGTTTGCTTCTTTGCTCTCTTGATCTTTAAATGAATCAGTAATCCTGATACGAAAAGGAAAGCCACTGATGCGAAGACAATTACAAGTGATCGCTTTACAGTGACAGCTCTTTTATGCTTGGAAGGTTTTGCTATGCCAGTGCAATCTTGCAAATGGAGCTCCGAGACATTACCACAGAGCAGGGGATTCCCCATTAGAGATACGCCACTCGCATTTGCCAAGATCCCTTTGGTCGGGGCCTCACCTCGTAGATCGTTGAAGGAAAGATTCAAATACTGCAAAGTCTGAATGTCTTGCAAATCTGAAGGTATTCCTCCGGTGAAATTGTTCGCGGAAAGATCCAAACTTTCCATAATTCGTAGCGAAGCTAACTCGAGAGGAATGCTGTCATTGAAAGAGTTGCTCTGCATGTGCAGAGCTTTAAGGCTCTTGCAATCACCAATGGTTCCAGGAATTCCCCCTGTCAGTAAATTGTAAGACAAATCCAAAGCTTCCATATTTACTAGATTCCCGATTTCTTCTGGGACCCGACCGGTGAACGAGTTCCGTGACAGGTTGAGTCCATCTGAGAGGGAAGAAAGCTTGAAAATGTTGGTGGGTATTTCACCAGTAAGCTTGTTGGCAGAGAGATCTAGCCTGCCCAACTGACGGCAACGTCCGAGGCTCGAAGGAATGGCGCCTTCTAGATGGTTACTAGAAATGTCGACTCGATTCAATTGGGTTAGGTTTCCCAACGACGATGGAATCCGACCCGAAAATTGATTCCCTTGCAACTGTAAACCCTGTAAATTCGAAAAGTTGCCAAAGTAAGAAGGAATTCGTCCTGTGAAAAGGTTAAGAGATAGGTCCACCATATTCAAGTTGACCAAATTCTCCAGCCCTGAAGGAATGCTTCCTGTGATCCAATTGTCCGAGATAATCAATAGAACGAGCTGAATCGACAAATTGCCCACAGAGTCCGGGAATGACCCACCGAGATTGTTCAAACCAACACCCAATTCCTGCAATTGGCTACAGTTGGTCAGCCCTGTCACGAACTCGAAGTCGTCGGACGAATTGGTCCCAAGGTTATTGGTTCCCATGTGGAGGTACAGGAGCTCTGGAAGGCTCCCGAAACAGACCGGGACGCTGCCCGAGAAGCTGTTCTTGTTCATGTCGAGATCAAAGAGCCGAGAAGCGTTGCACAGGGATGAAGGAATGGGGCCAGACATCCAGTTCAACGAGATACCATAACTACGGAGATTGGGCAGAGTGAACCCAATGTCCTCTGGTATTCTGCCTTGAAACTGGTTGTACATCAGTGTTAAAATGGTTATAGATGACAAGTTGTAGAGAGACGGAGGGATTGTGCCGTTGAGATTGTTCACTCCCACAACGAAATTGCTCAAGCTGGAGAGCCGACCCACGGTTTCAGGAATCGGTCCAATCAGATTGTTATAAGCAGCAGCGAAGGTGTAAAGCTTCGTCAGGTTCCCTAACGAAGCCGGGATCGGACCGGTTAGATCGTTCCTCACGATCCTGATCACCTCGAGGTTCGACAACAGCCCGATTTGTTTCGGGATCGTTCCGGTCAGGCCGTTGCCGCTCAGCCGGAGCTCCCTGAGCTGGGAGCAACGGGTCAGGTTGACTGGAATCTCGCCGCCTTCCAGCAAGCTGCTGGTGAGGTTCAGGGTCCGGAGGCGGAGGAGATTGCCGAATTGCTGAGGGATCGTGCCGCCGAAGCTGTTGTTGGCGAGCTCGAGGGATTCGAGGAAGCTGAGGTTGCCAATGTGGGGAGACACGGTGCCTTGGAAGTTGTACCCTGGCAGTGACAGAAGAAGTGACCCTCTGTTTTTGGCTGCAAGTGATGCCGACCCAGTTGCAGAAATGGAAGGAGTCGTTCCATGAATTGAGACCGCCATCTGGGTCCTCTGTTATTGCTTTCTTGAATTCGAGTAACGCCAGTCGGTCTGTGAAGTTGCTGCCTGATGCAGAATTGGGCTGAGATGGGAAATTGGATGAGGTGATGAGTAGAAGCAGCAGCAGCAGCTTCAGGGGAAGACAGTGATGGGTCTGCTTCATTGTTTTGACTTGGAAAGGTGGAGCCTTTTTCCTTTTTTTTTGGGTTTCAGAATTGGCGGGCAATATTAGGATTGAACAAGTCAGGCGTTTTATAACCTGCCC